AGGGCCACTCCGTCACAGACTTTGCAATCCAGTTCAGAACTCTAGCTGCCTCCTGTGATTGGAACGAGGGGGCCCTACGTTCCAGATTTTTTGAGGGCCTGAACGAAGAGATCCAAGATGAGCTTTCTTCTCATGAGCTCCCCCATAACCTTGAGACCCTTATTAACCTGGCACTCCGTGTGGAGGGGCGCCTCCGCCGCCACTGGCGGTCCATTCACTCCTCCTGGAGGGTTAATGACCTTCCCCTCCAACAATCTAGCTCTTCTACTCCTCCCTCACCTGAACCTGAGCCCATGCAAATGGGTCGTATGCGCCTTACACCTCAAGAAAAGAGGGACCGTCTTGCCCGTGGTCTATGCCTCTACTGCGGAAAACCAGGGCATTTTGCCGTCAAGTGTCCTTTAAAAGCCAAGGCCCATCAGTGAACCGGGGGATCCTGGTGGGCGCCTTTCCCTGTCTAGACTCCCCCCGCTCTCGCACCCTGTTGCCCATCACCATCCAGTATGAAGGATCCACTAATTCGGCCTCTGCCTTGCTTGATTCAGGGGCCGAGGGTAACTTTCTAGACCGTGCCATTGCCAAACAGTGGGGCATTCCTGCCGTTCCTCTCCCTTCCCCCATTTCTGTCTGGTCATTAGCTGGTCAGCTTCTCTCCACCATCACCCACATCACTCCCTGTGTAAGTCTTGTCGTTTCCGGCAATCACCGTGAGGCCATTGAGCTGTACCTTTTTGACTCGCCGGGTTCCCCTGTAGTCCTGGGGCATCCCTGGCTGGCACAGCACAATCCTCACGTTGATTGGTCTGGAGATTCTGTGTTGGCCTGGAGTCAGTCTTGTCATGTATCTTGTTTGGGTTCTGCCTTGTCTCCTGGTTCTTTGTGTTCTGTGTTGCAGGAGGAGACAGCCGATTTAACCAAGGTCCCGGTTGAGTACCATGGTCTTCGTCAGGTCTTCAGCAGGTCTCGGGCTGGGTCTCTCCCTCCTCATCGACCATATGACTGTGCCATTGACCTCCTCCCAGGCACTTCTCCGCCCAAGGGTCGCTTGTATTCCCTTTCTGGTCCAGAGAGAGAGGCTATGGATAGGTATATTCAGGAGTCACTTAATGCCGGTCTCATCCGTCCCTCATCATCTCCTGCAGGTGCTGGGTTCTTCTTTGTTAAGAAGAGGGATGGCTCCCTGCGTCCCTGTATTGATTACAGAGGGCTAAACGACATTACGATAAAGAACAGGTACCCCTTACCTCTCATGTCGTCTGCTTTTGAGCTGTTGCAGGGAGCCCAGGTCTTCACCAAGTTAGACCTTCGTAACGCTTATAACTTGGTACGCATTCGTGAGGGAGATGAGTGGAAGACAGCCTTTAATACCCCTACGGGACACTTTGAATATCTGGTCCTTCCCTTTGGTCTGACAAATGCACCAGCTGTCTTCCAGGCCCTGGTTAACGACGTGCTGAGAGACATGGTAAACAAGTTTGTCTTTGTGTACCTGGATGATATTCTCATTTTCTCATCCTCTTTACAGGAACACACTCAGCATGTGCGTCAGGTCCTCCAACGGCTACTAGAGAATCAGCTCTTTGTTAAGGCGGAGAAGTGCGAGTTCCACGCTAGGTCGGTTGCGTTCCTGGGGTATGTCATCTCGGCTGAGGGAATCCGAGCTGATCCTGATAAGGTAAGGGCCGTTGCCAAATGGCCAGTCCCCAACACCCGCAAGGCCCTGCAGCGTTTCCTGGGTTTTGCCAATTTCTATAGGCGTTTCATCAGGAACTTTAGCCAGATTGCTGCACCCTTAACGGCTCTCACCTCCACCAAGGTATTGTTCAAGTGGAATACACAAGCTCAGGAGGCCTTTGGTGCCCTTAAGTCCCGTTTCACCTCTGCTCCTGTTCTTTCTATTCCAGACCCTGAACAACAATTTATTGTTGAGGTAGATGCCTCTGAGGTTGGGGTAGGCGCGGTCCTGTCTCAGCGCTCATCCAAGGATGGGAAGGTGCATCCTTGTGCCTTTTTCTCTCATCGCCTGAGCCCAGCAGAACGTAATTACGACATCGGTAACAGGGAGCTGTTGGCAGTCAGGCTGGCCTTGGGTGAGTGGCGTCACTGGCTGGAGGGTGCGGCGCACCCCTTCTTGGTCTGGACGGACCATAAGAACCTTGAGTATGTCCGTTCGGCCAAGAGGTTGAGCGCACGCCAGGCTCGCTGGGCACTCTTCTTTGGTCGGTTCAACTTCGTCCTCTCGTACCGGCCAGGGTCAAAGAATATCAAACCTGATGCCCTCTCACGACTGTTCGAGACCCCCAGTGGGGAGACCCCGGTGGAGTCCATCCTCCCTGAGGGAGTGGTTGTTGGGTCCCTCTCCTGGGGCATTGAACAGCGGGTAATAAAGGCCGGTCAAGGGATTGAAGTACCAGAGGGGTGCCCGGAGGGTCGGTTGTTTGTGCCGGTTGCGCTGCGTTCCGAGGTTCTCCGGTGGGGCCATGAGTCCAGGTTGGTTTGCCACCCAGGAATTTGGAGATCACTGGCTGCCATCCGCCAGCGATTTTGGTGGCCCTCTCTAGGGTCGGACGTCAGGCAGTTTGTGTTGGCTTGCTCGACATGTGCCCAGAACAAGACCTCTAACAAGGCTCCTGTTGGTCTGCTCCGGCCCTTGCCCATCCCTTCTCGTCCTTGGTCACACCTGGCCCTGGACTTCGTTTCTGGCCTCCCTCCCTCAAGAGGAAACACTGTCATAATGACTGTAGTGGACCGTTTTTCTAAAGCAGCCCATTTTATCCCCTTGCCCAAGCTCCCCTCAGCCAAGGAAACAGCCCAAGCTATGGTTGATCATGTCTTCCGGATTCATGGTCTTCCGGTTGATGTGGTTTCTGATAGGGGACCACAGTTTGTTTCCCAGTTTTGGAAGGAATTCTGTCGGCAGATCGGGGCCTCTACGAGTCTGTCCTCAGGTTTTCATCCTCAGACCAACGGGCAATGTGAACGAGCCAACCAGGATCTCGAAAGAGCCCTCCGCTGCCTGACCTCCCAGAATCCTAGTTCCTGGAGCCAACAGCTCTCGTGGGTGGAGTATGCCCACAATTCACTGCCGGTAACGTCTACAGGTATGTCCCCATTCCTCTGCTCTATGGGTTATCAACCGCCTTTGTTTCCTTCACAGGAGCCCGATGCTGCAGTTCCGTCTGCCTTGGCCTTTGTCCGACGGTGCCGCCGCACCTGGATGAGAGCTGAGGAGGTCTTGGCCCGGACCTCTAGACGAATCAAAGCAGCAGCTGACCGTCATCGGACTTCCCCACCTCAATATGTTTGTGGTCAGAAGGTATGGTTATCAACCAAGGACTTGCCTCTCAGGGTGGCCTCACGCAAGTTGGCACCCAGGTTCATTGGTCCATACTGCATCACCAAGGTCTTGAGTCCGGTGGCGGTTAAGCTCAAGTTACCTCCCACACTTGGTCGGGTACACCCTGTTTTTCATGTATCCAGGGTTAAACCTGTGTTCAGATCCAATCTTAACCCCATTATCTCCTCCCCTGCCCCTCCTCCCCCCCGCCTAGTGGATGGCTCTCCTGCATACACTGTCAGGAGGTTGTTGGATGTCAGACGCCGGGGCCGGGGTTTCCAGTATTTGGTGGACTGGGAGGGTTATGGTCCTGAGGAGAGGAGTTGGATTCCAGCTCGGCATGTTCTGGATCGGGCGTTGGTCGTGGACCTTCACCGGCGACTGGGTAAGCCCCTCCCCTGAGACGCCAGGTGGCGTTCGTAGGGGGGGGGGTACTGTCATGGTCTGTCACCTGCATGTTGTCACAGTCATTCGTGTTTGTTTTCTCGTAGCACATGGCATTGTTTTGACAGCGCGCCATGTGCTCCACTGCCTCACTCCACCCACTTATCAGGTTACTCATTAGATCATTATTTCATTATTCGCACCTGTCTCTAGTCTTAGCCTTATGAGTCTCCCTATTTATTCTCCTCTCTGTCATTGTCTTGTACCGGGTCGTTAGTGTGTTTACCTCACGCGGTGGCCTCTTAGATCGTGTCCTGTCTTGTATCCATTTTTGACTCCAGTGCCAGTTTTTTGATTTCGATTTTGTGGTTTGGACTGTTTCCTGTTTTTTCCCCTTTTATCAGATCGCCCTCGCTGCTATCAGTTGTGGTAGACGCTTCCCTCTCCACTTCCTGCTTCAGCCTTTTCTATTCCGCCCACCAGCGATCTTCTCCCTCTCTGGCCGCCTTGTATCCCGCCCGGGCGCTTTCACTTCGGCTGCTGATACTGCTGTGTTTCCCGTTTGACTGGAGAGTTGGACCACCGTGCGCCTCCTGCTGGAAGCACTTTATATTGCCCTTCACCTGAGTTACCCATTTCCTGTTTTTTGACTGCGAGTTGGACTGCCGTGCGCCTCCTGCTGGAAGCACTTAGTATTGCCTGTAATTATACCTTCTGTTTTTGCCCCTTTTTGACTGGCGACTTTGGATCGCTGAGCGCCCTCTGTTGAACTTTCTTTATTTATTTTTTGCCAGTATTTTGTGCTTTTTCTGTGGCATTTACAGCACCCTGTGCTGAGAATTTTTTGTTGTATAATATCCCCTCTGCAGGCCACTTTAGTAATAAATAATTCTGTTTTTCCCTGCATTTGATTCCTCCTGATTTTTTATACTGACACTTGTATGACAATTATGTAATATTATATTATAATTATGTAATATATATACACACACACACACACACACACACACACACACACACACTGAGAACATTGTATGTGTAAATATTTTTTTTTACAATAATTATGCATCAAAATGAATGTTGTTTCTTATTCATATAATTAAAAAAGTCTGTAAATAAATTGTAATTGTAAAGGGTAAAATCTTTCAAATTAATGAATTGTCGTTAGTTATAATCAGGGCTGATGCTGAACAAAAAAAATCTATTTAGGTGGAAATAAAATTCAAATTACAATATGACACTTTCATATTTTTTATACTGACATGTTTTCCTCTATGTGTCTTTATAAATATATAAGCATTAAGCCAGAGAGCTTACAGTAATAGATTTCTGCTCCAGATCTACTCCTCCAGCAATGCTGAAACCCAGTCCAGCTCCCTGCTCTTTGGTTAAGATCACAAAGTAAACGTCATCTTTAACCTAGATATAAAGATTCATGGAAGACTGGTTAACCTTTTAGAAAAAAGAAGAAATATACACAGGCTACACAGCAATAAACAGGGCCTATGAGAAACAATTATTCTTATGTTAAAATACACTGATAAAAAGTAATATTTTTTTAATAAAATGTTATAAACTTTATAAATAAGTATAAGTCAAAACACAAGCAATTTTGTAATCACTACTGCTATTTCTGAAGCCTTATCTTCACAAAAAACAAATATCTGAACATCAGATGGTCTTTATACCTTATATATTAGTTTTCAAAATAGACATGAAAACAATTTAATATATATTTAAACAAATCATTCTGAATACTTCTTTGGGAACATAAAAAACACAGTGAAGCCTCAGACTTGATAAATTACCTCAGAAGTAGCGTTTGCTTCCTGTATGAGACTTGTCACATCCACTTTGGTTGGGAGGGAACACAGAACATCATTAACTTTGTTTTGGTCCAAAGGAGAAAATTCAAGGTCTTTCAAACTGTTGTGGAAGACAAACAACACCAGATATCAGTTTAATAGCACTTTTCTCCTAGCCAGGAATGTATTAAAATGTTATCAGCTAATAGTTGTTGAAAATATCTTGGGCCTGGTTTTCATCAAGCAGAAACCCTTTACTGTGTCATAAAATACAGCTCTGGAATAATTACTATGGCATGTGCTGAAATACATAACCCAAACACTGTTTAAAACACCAGTAGAAGTAAAAAGACACATTCTTGAATCAACATCTTTTGTTGATCCTGTAACAATATTCCTTGTCCAAAGATTTTGTCTTGACCACTACTCATAAACAAATTCCTAAAACGAATTACCCTTAAATCAGAGGGAAGGTGAACTGAAGGTAAATAAGAGTGATTTATATGCCCCTAACCCTTATTTTACGCATAATCTTAAAATGATTAGTTCACACAAAAATATATATATTTTTTTATAGACATTAGTTCATCTGTGGAACACAAATGGAGATATTTTAGTTCAAATCAGAGACATCTCTCATTCAACATTCAAGTGTAAATGAGCAACCTGACCTGATGCAGAAGACATTGACTAAGTTTAATGGATTGACATTGACTAAGTTTTGATCGATTACATGGACAGCAGTAATCAAATTATTTGCCTAATTAATCTAATTAATCGAATAATAAGACTAAGGTGTTTACATGAGTTACTTTTTGAATGTTCCTTTCATGATCCCGTTTTACATGTAATAGCACATCATTCGATTAACATCATCGCATCATTGCGCTATTTGCATTTCCTCCAAGGTATAATGTAATTTCGGGTGTTTTATTTTAAATTTGTTGACTTTAACTGCAGTTTGGCACTTTCACTTTCATTCACGAACATTTCATGTGCGCCCTCCGTGACAAACCAGATATTGAATGCAACTATGATCTGCTGGAAGTGTTGTTTCAATGGAAGTTCATACACCATGCTGAATGGAAGAAAAAAAAACTCAGCATTTCACGATGCAGGTGTCTTTGGTCTGCACTGACTGGGTAGGTGCAAAGAGTGTCCAACAACCTTGTGTGTGTGTGTGTGTGTGTGTGTGTGTGTGTGTGTGTGTGTGTGTGTGTGTGTGTGTGTGTGTGTGTGTGTGTGTGTGTGCTCTCCTCTCATAAATCTCGGTGTAAAGTCCTCTATGACGATAATAGTTTGACTAAGGTGTTTAAATGTCTGTACTGCACTTCAATAATGCGACTAAAATCAGCATACTCCACGTCTTAATTCTATTTCTCTTTAGGTCGATTAATCTGATAAATTTAATCAAAAATAGCTGTTTACATGGTCGACGCTTAATCAGAGTATTGTCTTAATCGAATACAATCTACTTATTGGTGTCCATGTAAACGTAATCATTGACAAACAAAGTTGTTTTTACAGTTTTTTTTAACACACAAATGTGTTCTCTGAGCCTTATCTGTTAACAGTGAAACCACTGAAGTCACATGAAAACATTTTATTGTTTCTTTTTAGATTTATTTTTAGCCTTTTTGCCTTTATTAGATAGGACAGTATGGAGTCAGTAAGGCGAAGTGAGAGAGAGAGAGAGAGAGAGAGAGAGGGGAGGGGGGGGGGGTAGGGTTGGGAAATGTCCTTGAGCCAAGATTCGAACTCAGGACACCCCGATGTGCATATGCACCATATGTCAGCGCGCTAACCACTAGACTATTGCGCCAACATGAAAATATTTCATAAATATTTTTGGTTCCTTTTCTAGACATTTCTGGATCATTGCTGTCAGGGTAGGATGAGGAAGCTCTTAGATTTCATCTAAAATATTTTTGCTTGTGTTACAAAGATGAACAAAGGTCTTATGGGATTGAGGCATGATGGTGAGCAATTTATTAAAAAAAATAATTTTTGGGTGAACTGACCTTTTAGCATGAACTGCAAAGTTTATAAACTGGTTGATTAAAATGCTATTGCAGGACCAACAAAGTTGAAGATACAGGAATAAGTTTTAATCTCTTTACCTTATAGACCAGCATGAGAGCCCTGTGTCCTGGATTTCATGGTGTTCCCCATTGCTGGTTGATCCAAGCGCCCCGAGATCTACACTGCTCACCCTGGTCACCACAGTGCACTGTGAAGATGGGTCTATGGACCTGCGAGGGTTAATTTCCAACTCTGTCTTAAAGATCACATTTCCAGGGTCACTGGTAAAATCCTCAGTACATAGCTTGTCCAGTTCAGGCATGCTCAGCGCTTTTATCTCTCTTAATTTGGAGCGTGACAGACCCCCATGGGCGCGGGCATTGCGGGAGCGCAGCACTGGAGGTGTGTGTACAGTGGGCTGGTTCTGAGAGGTCTCATTTTTCATCTCCTTCATAACAGTCTCTGTGGTTTGGTTTGATGGAGTTGATTCACAGTTGGTGGCAGTTGAACTGGTGGACCAATTCTGTAGAGATGGAGTTGAGCTCAAATTGTCCACACAAGAGCTGAAACTCCTCCTCAACGAACGGCTGTCTATAGACTGACTGCTAACAGATCCAGCATACCCCGACAGTCTGCGATTTAAAGTTGGCTTAGAGTTAACAGCATAAAAGGGTATGTCTATACACTTTATAACAGATCGATCAAAACTGGCCAGGCTCTCAAAAGACTGAATTCTTTGACGAACTGAGAAAGGGTTTGTGTCTAGAGATCCACCAGCATCTGTAGAGCAGCTTCGGCGGTCTAGTCCTCTTAAATACAGCTTGGATTTGCTTGTTTTGAGATTAGAAGCAGCATCTTTATTAGTTGAGTTCCTAAGGAGACTTTCCTCCTGGCCATTGCAAAACACCTTTTCAGCTGTTTCATTTGCCTTATTATCACCATTCTGCTGGGCAGAACTAGATGAAGAGTTGACTGATTCTAATGGGATTGTGTGACTTCCTAAAGAGAAGTCTGAATTTGATTCCTTCCACTTGATAGAATCAACTGACAGTGAAGCTAAGCTTAAATGACTTGCATTCACCACTTCCTTGCGAGCCAGCACAGGTGTAGATGACGAAGACGATGAAAGTCGTACTTCAATGAAAGTTCTTTGAGTGTTGCCAACAGTGACTTCTGGTTTTGAAACCTGCTGCTTCAGATCCAGTGCATCCTCTTTCTTTAACGGTTTGAGTTCTTCTTTGGCAGTGTTGATGGGATTTACCTTAGAATTAGTGGAGACTGTTAATTGATTTTGGTCAGTTTTACAACAAGAAACCCTGCTTTTCTCAGAAGATCTGGTGGATTTAGGGCTACCAGTTGGTGTGGTTCTTTTGGAGTGGAGTTTAGGTGACTGACTTGGGGAGACGAGAGATTTTCTCTGTACTGGACTCTCTGCCCTGGGCGATCTAGACACTGGCTGTTCTTGGTCCTTGCATTTACTTTTAATACTTAGACCCTTGAGTTTAGAGGATGTGTTTGACTTTTTATCATCCACTTTGAGTCTACCTCTCAGCAGGGGTGAGACAGGGGAGTCATTAGATGATTTAGTTCCCAAAGATCTCACAGATGTAGCAGATTTACTCTGGTTCTGAGAAAACGTGGATTTCAAGTCCAGCGTGGAAAGAACTTTTTCTTTCTCTTTTGAAGCAAGTGCAAGAGAGGCCTGCCCACTACTTTTGCCATTGGCATAATGTGATGCATTGGGCTCTGACACAGTCAATTTCAGTGGCGCTTGCCCAGTGTTGAGTTTTTCTGCAGATCGAGATGCTTCAGAGAGCAGCCTAGCTGTCCTGTCTTGACTTCTTGGTGTGACGTGGCAGTTGTTTTGAGTAACAGGGGTATCTGTTGGTGTTTGACAGGTTTGAAAAGATTTTGACATAGTTTCACATTTTTCATCATCGCTGCAGTTTGGCTGTGTTATTTTAGACACACACACCGCCTCCTGCTGTGTGGGAGCATGTCCAATTTTCCCATTTAAAAGATCTTTGCCTGAAACTTCATGACAAAGGGGATCTTGTGGATCTCTGTCTTGTGCTGAGACTGATGAAGGCTTGTGGAGATCTGTACTAGTCAATAATTTTGCTCCTGGCTGATCAACAGATTGCCTAGTGGCACAGCCATTTCCATCTGGCAGAGAACTTCCCTCTGATTGGCTGAATGCAGACTGACTGACAGTGCTGAAGCAAAGCTCAACTTCTTCTTCATCTGTGTCAGTGTCACGAGGACCCTCACTATGACCTTGAGACTTTTCTATTTTTACAGCGCTGTCTGTGGAGTCACTCTCAGAGTCACTATCCACCATACTGTACATACTAGGTTTATGTCCATCTCCTTTCTGTAATGGGACAATGCTCTCTCCCAGATTACTAAAGTTCCTTGAGTAACTATTTAAAAAGGTCTTTCCTAGAGGAAAATGGCAAGTACCGTTTCCCATATCTAATGCAGAAAAATCCAGAGGGTTTGGTTGTGATGGGGCTCCAGTTCCTCGGTCATCTTTTTTACTGTACTGTTCTGCACTTTGGTCTTTCACTTCGCTTTCTGCTGAGTTCAGTTCACTTACGACATCATCAATATTAGTGACAGGCATGCTGTGTGTTGTTACTGCCTGTTTCGCGTTTGCATGTTCTGATGAAGGGATTTGAGTTGTGTCCGTATGATTCCTTTCTTCTGGTGAAGGTCTAGATGCCTCCAGTTTAGATGAGCTTTCACAGCCAGAGGACATAATCAGGCTAGAAAGTCGATCTACAGCTGTGAATGTGAACAAAAATACAACATAGTTGCATATTATACAAATATTTGTAAATTATACAACACAGTTCAACATATATGCCAATTTTCATATCAATGACACACTGTAAAACCCAACAGTCAACTTTATCAAATGAAATGAGTGTAGTTAACTCACAATTTAGTGAAAGTTAATTTTACTCATATGAAGAGTTTTGAACTCAGCGTTGAAGGTAACAAGTAAATTAAATACCTCATTACTTCAACTTAAATGGAGTAAGTTCACAGTACTTTTATAGATTCCTTTTTTTCAACTCAAATGGTTTGTAGCAATCGGTTTCCTCAAACGGTTTGATTTGCCTTAACTTATTGGGTTTTACAGTTCTCGTTTGGTTTCGGTTCTCTTTATTTATTGTGTTTTACTGTGCTCAAATTGGTTCATTTACTCAAATGGACTAAGTTCACAGTACTCATTAGGATTAGTTTTTTTTAACTTAATTGGTTTGTTGCAATCGGTTCCTCAAATGGTTTGAGTTACCTTAACTTTTAGTGCAGGTAATTTAACAGCAAAAGAGTACTGCTGAACATGATGAATTGATGACCATACAAGTGCACTACTGTGGTCTGCTAGACAGGTTGCCTGCTTTATAAATCAACATTCCACTGGGAAACTATTCAGACTTAGCAAAATATTCCATTCTCACTCAAGTATGTGTATCGAATTAAGCTAAAAACAACAGAGCCATCCACCTGCAGTCCATTCCATTGTCTGATTTTTCACAGATTCAAAAATACTGTTCTGAATGTGTTGTTATTGAGTCTTATTTGAATCCAGAATTGTATTATTAAACACAGTTAGAACATTTAAGCCACAGCTAAAAGTCCCAAAGGCAATCCAAACAGAAAGAATTGTTGAATTGTTTGAGATCATGCAAAACTGATATCCTCATGGCATGTTTTCAGTGGCATTATTATGTTTTAGCTGAAGCAGACATCTTTGAATATTGCTTTTTACAATTAAACCGAAAAGTGCAATGTATACAAATTCCCCCGAACATGTCATGCATTGGCAGAGCATTTCACTGTGAGTAACTGAAATATGGTTAGTGTAGGAAGTAGAAGTGTGTGTTGCTCATGTTTACATAAATGTACATTTCAAGAGTTCACACTCAGAGGTTGCTTGGCACTATTAGCAGTTTGGTTTGCTATCCCGGGAGAGAACCCTGAGCTCAGAGATAATTAAGCCCAGGGCTCCCGCCAGGTCAATAAGTATGTAAGTTTATACGAGATCAGGTAGGTCTCGAGAGCTCCCCCTGATAAAAGGAGGAAAAGGAGAAGATAGGGTGAAAGGGGGGATTCTTCCAAAACGAAGATAAGGCAGTAGGGTGAAATCAATTTATTTATTGTAGGCTTGGATCAATCTGATTGAATTATTGCTGATTAAAGTTGAGAGACCAGCTGCGATCAATCATATCATGTGCTACTCTCGAAATTAGCTTGAAAAGTTCACAAAGATTTGATCTATCATATATAATGAACATGAAGGATCACATTTAAACAAAGTGACGGCAGGAAGACAGACAAGACAGACACAACAAATAAATGAATTAACTACTGTATATAAAAGTCATTTATTGAGGCTATTGCTCTGCATGATGAAATCTACCAATACCAAATGCTTTTAGATCAACTGAACAAAAGGACCATTTATGAATAGATTATTTCTTTGAATTTACATGTCAGAGCAATAACACCAAATCTAGATTCTACTTGACTAAAGGCCTCTAGGAAGCATTAGCGCTGTTACTCTACACATCTATAGTAGCTACGGTAGTAAAGTAATCAATAGTCACCATTGACAAATAGCCAGCAGCGTGCAGTTCCCTTTGAGCTGGTGAAGGGTACTGCCAGAAAGGGGAAGTCTGTAGTACTCCTATCTCTTTAAGGCAGCATGGGAAAAGACAGACTTATCTCTTTATTGCAGTGGCAACTCTACCTGTGCTAACAGTCTCTTGTGAAAGATAGAAAGGCCTGTTTATCCCACTAAATTGTGCTACACTGTTGATCAAATTTAGGAAAAGCTCTGAATCTGCTAGAGAACCACAGTTTGCAGGAGGGGAGGAGGGGATGTGGACAAAACTTTATAAAGCCATCTAGTGCAGTATGTTACTATACACAGCACAGCACTACAACTGATCATTGCAAATTCACATGTTGATATTGTTGAGTAGTTTGAGAGTGTTGCATAGGTTTGATTGGATTAGGGAAAATAGCTTTTAAGGTCATAATACCATGTTTTGAAGAACTGTTCCAAAAGATTTTTCAAGCCAATTACAAAGACTGACAATTCAATTCCAATAAAAGGAGACAACAATGATGCAAAAGTACCACAAAAGCTGTCCATATGACCAGTGCACTATACAAAGTAATTTCTTTGTGTGGAAGGTCATATTGGACCAGTTTTATGAATCTGTTTGTGTTTTATTGTGGTGAATTTGTGTCCTTTTTGTGTAAATGCATGGGAAAGAGTGACTTTAAAAATAGCCTTGTGTGTATCTAGCAAATAAAGGAAATACTTTGGGTTTGGGGCAACATGTGTTAAGTGAATACTGAGAGTTTTCATTTCTACTATCCTCTGGATCCTCCTTCTTTTGAAACATTAAAATGAGAAAGATCCATGACCAAAGCTATTATCAAATAAATTCCAAGAAGAGTAACTGAAATGCTGGCTGATACTCACCTGAGACAGGTTTCTTAATCTCTAAGGTCAATGTGATTGGCAGGTTGTGCATGAGGTCACAGATCTCCTGATAGGAGGATGTGCACACGGGGGTGTCACCAATTGTTACAATCTCGTCGCCAATGCTCATCTTCCCTGAGGCTTCCTGGTAACCAGATAGGAAGAAAATTGGTGAGATATATTTCTTAAATTTATTTCAGATATATCTTATCCATGCCTTTAAGCAAAGCTGGGTGTATTTTGATACTTGCACCAGCAGAGAGGAATTGCAGTTAACAGTTATGGTACCCTAAAATGTCCATTAAAAACTATTTTAGAACTTTTAAGAAATTAATACTTTAATGAAATACTACCCCAACTCCTTGTAAACTTTTGCCACTGAGCAAGTGTTTAGGGATAAGCAGAGGGAAAGAGTCTAACAAAACAAATACTATAGATATAGCTTGCACTTTATCTGTTAATCCAAATGTCAGTCATAAAACCTCCAATAGGATTTTCCCCCCTTAAATGAAAAATTAAAAGTAATGAATAGACAAATATTATTCAGTTTATAAATGATAAAATAATTGCAGTTTATAATTCTTGCAAAAGGTCTAACACAGTTCAGAGGTGGTGTAAATGCAATCCAAAAATGTTAACTGTAATTACAAAATAGCAAAGCTACTACAAAATTTTGTACAATGATATTTCATTAATATTTAATAAAATGCAATTGACAAAAATCTTAAATAAACATTTTAATGTTTATTAGGTGTTTTCAAATAAGCAGCCAACAGTAACTGAGTTGAAGTCAAAATTATTAGCCACGGTTTTATTTTTTTTCTTTTAAAAATATTTCCCTAATTATGTTTACAGGGCATCGAAACTTTCACAGTATGTCTGATAACATTTTTTCTTCTGGAGAAAGTCTTACTTGTTTTTTTTTTTGGCTAGAATAAAAGCAGTTATTATTTTATTAAACACCATTTAAAGGACAATATTATTAGCCTCTTTAAGCAAATCTTTTTTTCAATAGTCTACAGAACAAACCATCGTTATACAATGTGTTTTAGAGCTGAACCACTGAAGTCGCATGGAATGTTAAGTTTTTGGCTCCTTTTCAAGAAAATTGCTGTCTATAGAGAATTAGGGAATTCTCAGATATCATCTTAAATGTCTTAATCTGTGCTCTAAAGATAAATGAAGGTCTCAGGGAGATGGAATGACATGAGGGCGAGTAATTTCTAACAGAATTATCATTTTTGGGTAAAATAATCCGTTAACACCATGTGTAAACGGCACTGGATGCAGCCTCGGTTGTTAATAAATCAAATCCCACCCCAAATTCCAACCTACCCTTTCAGCTACACCTCCTGGTCTCAGTCCAGTGACCAACACTTTAAGCGGAGCAGACTTAATCTCCAGATCCAGACCAAAAGACTCTGTCTCACCGCGCTGGAGCACTATTGTCTCAATGGTACAGACCCCTGCAAGCTCACTAGATTCCCCTTTCTTGCAGTGCATCATTCTGCAGGGTGGCCGTGTGCAGTTTTGTGTAACCTGAGCAGGGTTTGCTGGGAATAAAGCTGGATCTTCCCCCTTGGTTCTTTGTGGAGGGTTTGGACACTCAATGCTCATCATGCTCTTGACACGAGTCACAGCTTTGTGCTCCAGCTTGGGTGAGCGTTTCACCTCCTGCCCTTCTCGATGGGGCTCTTTTTTCACCCCCAGGTTTGTGGCTTCGACACAGTGAATGGGCATGAAGGGAGATTCGGCAGATGACAGACCGGTAGTTCCTTCCTCAGATTCAATGGAGCTGCCATAGAAAGGAGTAGTCGGCTCACTGCTGATCTGTCTGTGGCTCTCACTGCCGTCCTGGCTTTCATCGTCCACCTCTAGAGATGATGTGGCTATAACAATACCAGAATCCTCCTCTTGGTGCTGGTGGCCGTCTGAGACCCCACGGAGAAGGCGACGGAAGGGGCCGTTGTCGTCTTCAAGTCCGGTCTCGTCACCGCTGGGCTCGTCCTCATAGCAGATAACCCGCCGCTGGCGAAGAAGTGGGCTGCGAACAGAGCTCGGACTGCTTCCCACACTGGCCTGCTGGGCTGTTTCTGCAGTACGACCAGTGCCACCTGAGGCTTTACAACATTCAGGGGTTGTGGGACTACTGCCTGAACCTCTATAGGAACCATCACGGTAGACTATAAGAGAAGAGGACAGAAAAACTGTGACTGTGACGAACCGCATTAAATCTATACAATGAGAGAATGAATGTGACACTTTAGATTCAGAAATGCTACCATGCGGCTGAGGTGCTGCTGATTCCTCCATGGACGTATTGCAGCTCCTGCTACTGTGCAGCATGTCGTCATCACTGGACCCCATTGCCATGGTCTCCGAGAGGGAAGACTGGCTGGGTACATCGTGAACCGTGAAATACTGAGAGAGCTCTGCCTCTGAACTCAATGAGCCTTGCTGCAGGGACAGATGGAGACATGAAATCAAATCTTTGGGGAAATCAAATTTAAAGTTTAATCTCCACTTAGTTTAAAGATTTAGAAGAGTTTTAGGTAAGGTTTTGAATTGTCAGGGTACCACCCTGCAAAAGAGTAGGGTGACAGCTTTATATTTGCATTTGTTGTTTCACGCAGTGATCTATAATTGTGCTAATGCTATTCAGAGATCAGTCTGAGTCAAAATTGAGGATTAATAAAGTACCAGTTGCTATTAAACATTAATTATACAGGACTTTGATTGTCCAAATGAGAAGACTAAGATTAGTTGACTACAAGAGTAATTTGTGTTCTAGACAAGTTTAATTCCCAAAGCAATTCAAATGAAAGTGATTTAGTATCATTGGTTCAAAGTCATTTTGGTCTTTGGTTCCATTTGCCTAAATTAAGTTCAAAAAACGCCATTCAAATAAAGGGAAATTTGTGTCAAATCATTATTAAATTACGTTACACCAATGATTTTTTTGAGAGTGCACTACAATACAAACAAAAGTACACAAAAAAACGTCACCACATTAGATACAAAATGACAGCAAACCTTGACAGCAAGTTTCAGCTGGAGTCATTTGCTTTTCATTAATGTTTGATAAAGTTTATTATCTCTGACAAGCTCAGCTCTCAGTAGACAAAAGCCTCTAGTTTACCCTGCTGGCTGGCTCTAGGAATCGCTTCATGGTCCAGCTGAGAGCAGGATTACCCTCGCCCTGCTTGACTTTGACTGTGGGAGATGGACTCTTGGACGGCAGGCCTGTGAAGAAGAGCACAAAGGAAAATGATGTTCATTTTTCTTCTGCTTGGAAAGGATCTGAGTTACAAATCACTGTGTTCTGAGTAACTAATAATCTCCAGCTACATCAGAACGTCAAAACTAATATTTGAAAACTGAACATGAAGTCCAAAACAGCATAAGCCAAATTTAAAACAGAGCTTTTGGGATTTTTAACGGATAGTTCAGCCCCCTGATTAATAGTTCAGTTGATTAAACCAGGATAGTTTGGTTTAATCAAAATTAAGTGGTCACAAACCACACAAAAGGAGATATTCTGAAGAATGTAGTAAACTAGAAGCCCTTGATATGTATAGTAAGATAGAAATGACGATGGCTGTCCAGCAATTTTCAATGCATCTTTTTTGTGTTGAACAGAAAGATAAAACTCATGAAGGTTTGGAATGTGTAAGGGTAGTAAATTGTGCCATAAAGGATTTCATTTTGGGGTGAACAATCCTTTTAAAAATATACATATTTTTAAGGAAAAATCTATAAACTAAGCTATAAAGCTTTAAAACCCCTAAGAAACAGTGACCCTAATCAGACCAAGACAAAACATGCATTTTACCGAGTGTGTGAGAAGAATGACTATCTCGATGTGTGGAACGAGTGATCACTTCATCCATCTCCTGTTCAGACACCTAAAGGTGAGAGAGGATCATTCATTAAATAAAATACTCAGCCCCTCAATCCCATGGTGTACGAACAACACTACAATATTCTGAGCCTAATATAGCTTAATATGATACAAATATCACGGAGAACACATTAATCCTTTGTCTATCTTAAATAACAAAATACATTTTCTGAACACAAGGTGGCACTATGATTCAAGAAGAATTATCTGCGTCATAAATCTGCCTAATTAAACTCAAAATAAACCTAATGCATGCATTGACTGTAAGTCAATTCCATCTCAATAACACTATTTGAAAATTTTCAAATAATAACAAAAACAATTAAAACAAATTAAAATAAAAACACAAATGATTATAATTTTACATTTTACATCAAAAATCAATAATTACATTTCAACTAGTAAACTCTTTGCCCTAGTTGTTTGACAGGCACTCTTTGAAAACTAATTCCCTATTTGTGTTTGAAAAATCTGTACGGTATAAAGTAAGATCAGATTGCACCAGATCTATTTCAGTTGACTTTTATTGTTTACTTCAATCCCAGCCTTTCTCAGCTGAAAAGAAACAATAAAACATCAAATAATAGAAGAACCACAAAAACATCCTGAGCACAAAAAAGGAAGCTTCACACTACATGCACCTGTCACAAACATGTTTAAAACAGTTATCTTTAACAAAAACTACACCCAGACTCCACTCAAATCTAGGAACATATGACTCACAAGCAGAAAAAAAAAAAAAGATTTACAGTGCAAATCCAACCAGTTGTTTGGTAAACAAGGCTGCAGCATATCTTTCATAAATCAGCCATTAAATGACTTATATATAACTTTACAAATTGCATTGTGCATAAATCCTCTAAATATTAGCATATTATTCAATAAAATCTGAATTTACATACTTTATTTACTCATTATTTACATGAGTATTTTAATAGATTGACTTGTGGACTCAAACATCTGCAGTTTCTGTAAAATTTGGATTATATTTACAATATTTCACAAATGCTGTTTAATGGAGAGAATATTATTAACGCATTTAAACTACTAACTACACCTTGCTAGTGCCGGGTTGGACCCCCATTTGCCATATATGCCTTAATTCTTCGTGGCATAGATTCAACAAGGTACTGGAAATATTTCTTACAGATTTTGCTCCATATTGACGAGATAGACTGCAAATTTTAGATGGTAGATTTAACTACCTTAGAGTTAAAATTAACACTCCCTCAGAGTTTATATGGGAACCACTATAAAACTGTTATCATCATCAACACTGAGAGAGTGTTAAGTAGCAAACTCTTATAGTGCAAAATATCGGTTCAATTTACAAAAAAAAAAAAAAAACCACCAGCTGTGGTTGCCAGAGTTTTTCGGTGAAAAATATGGAAGTTTTATAGAAATGTATTAATTTGTGGAAAATAACCGTATTTCATGAACTGATGCAATGTTCAGTTTACAAAATCATAGCTTAGTGCACAAAAATGTAAAGTCATTAGATGCAATGATGTGTTCATGTGTGATTGCAATTAACGAACAGATTTTCACTGCATTAGTAACTACACAGTTACCTTTAAACAAAAGAAGATGCAGCATAACATCAAATACCCTCAGTTCATCTTGGACTTGAACACAGACACTACTATCCTCCACAATGGTGACACAAAAAACGTTTTGCATTTTTTTTTCCTTTTTTAATTTTACGGAAAAATACCGGCAGCTGTGGTTGCCAGTAATCTGCTGTTTTTAACATTTTACATTCATAAATTCAGATTACAGTATATTTCTGTTAAAAACACATTCCACAGTCTGTATTTTTTATCGAACTATAGCATCACACAGTTGCTGCAGATTCTCAGCTGCACATTCATGATGCAAATCCCCTGTTCCATCACATCTCAAAGGTGCTCTATTAGATGAAGATCTGGTGACTGTTGAGGCCATTTGAGTACAGTGAACTCATAGTCATATTCAAGAAACCAGTCTGAGATGATTTGCGCTTTATGACATGGCGCGTTATCTTGCTGGAAGTAGCCATCAAAAGATTGGTACACTGTGGTCATAAAGGGATAGACACCAAGTCCTATGCCAAAAAATATCCCCCACACCATTAAACCACCACCACTTGTTGATACAAGACAGGATGGATCCATGCTTTCATGTTGTTGAAACAAGATTCTGACCCTACTATCTGAATATGGCAGCACAAATCAAGACTCATCAGACCAGGCAACGTTTTTCCAATCTTCTATTGTCCAATCTTGGTGACCCTGTGCGAATTGGAGCCTCAGTTTCCTGTTCTTAGCTGACAGGAATGGCACCCAGTGTGATCTTCTGCTGCTGTAGCCCATCTGCCTCAAGGTTCAACATGTTGTGTGTTCAGAGATGCTCTTCTGCATACCTCAGCTGTAGCGAGTGGTTATTTGAGGTACTGTTGCCTTACTATCAGCTTGAACCAGTCTGGCCATTCTCCTCTGATCTCTGGCATCAACAAGGCATTTGCGCCCACAGAACTGCTGCTCACTGGATGTTTTCTCTTTTTCCAAATATTCTCTGTAAACCCTAGAGATGGCTGTGCGTAAAAATCTCAGTAGATAAGCAGTTTCTGAAATACTCAGACCAGTATTTCATTATACACATTATAAATAGATATAATAGATAGATATTATAAATGTACCCAATATAGTGGTCGCTGAGTGTATAAGCGATTTAGGTTAATAAGGCAAAAAATATCATAGGAAACACAGTGAAACCCTCCTTGCTCTATTAAACAACACTTGTGAAATGTTTGAAAAGGAATTCAAATTTCACAGGAGGGATAATAATTTTTCCCTCAACTGTATAAGTAGACATACGGTCAGTACCTCAGTGTGAAAGACTAACATTCTCATGTCACATGCTAAGTTTGAGGCTAGTCCTAACATCGTTCTGCTCACATTAGTGCAGGCTCTCATTTCTCAGGCCAAGTGAACAGTCAGCATATTCTAACCACCAAAACCTCCCGCTGTACCCCACCCTGGTGCACATTTCTCAACATCTTGAATCACTATGTGGATGGAAACCAAGTTGCTCGAGCAGAAGGGGGAGAGGAATGTTGTTTACTTTTTTGTCGGGCTTCAATGATTCATGCTAGGAGCAAATTACAGCTTAACAGGTGGATGGTTTTTTTTTTTTATTTCCACTTGCAGCAGTCTGTCAGAGGAAGGGCCCTTGTGACTGCAAGAGTGTGACCACATCACCACACTCATAGATGCGGTCTATTTATTCATAAATGAAAACAAGTTCAGAAACTAGAGGGCGTTTGTGTTGCTTTATTAATATTTTCTATGGGCATCAAATATTTACTTCATTTGACCCTAAAGAATCTGTACCCTTTGAACAAGACTATTAATTAGGGTAAGTTTGCAAGCTTGTTAATCTGAGTAAGATTGTATATGCAGTCATTTTTTGAGGAGATGCCATAGTGTCTGTGTTTGGCTCTTACTTTAGGGTTTGGATGGCGGCTGATGATAAGGCTGACCGGGCCTGGTCCACATTCACTCAGGATGGCATAGGCTTCACTTAATGCCGCGTGTCTCAGGCTCACAGAATCCACTTCTAGAAGCTGGTCTCCTCGGCTAATGCATAACATACACTGATTAGTCACTTTAATCAAAGATTTGATCAAAAATATAAACAGTCTCCTTCATAAAAGAGTACAAAACCTAAATATCTCTCTTTCAAAAGGGAGCTATTATGCAAAAATCACTTTTATAAGGGGCTGGCTTAACATAGTTGTGTTGCAACAGTGTGTGAATTTGAGCAGCTTCTCATAGTAAAAAATTATTTATTTTATTTTTTATAATCACTCTTGATAAAAACAGAAACACTTTGAATTACTTTCCCCCTTTGTACGTTTTATCAGAGGGAGAAAGCCCCGCCCATTAGTGACAATCTCTCCCTCATTGGCTAAGAATGTTAGTCATTTTGTATCCGCCATTATGCTTATACACAGGCATTTGTAGCTCCGCCCTTTTTTGAGAACAGCACAATCTCATTTAAATTTAAAGCAACAGTCACCAAAATGTGTTTAAACATTAGATGAGTTAGTACCAAAGCCAAAACTAGTTTAACAAAATAACAATATCACAGAGAAAAAGGATGTACACAACAATGAATGTGTTAGGGAATAATATTAGATTAAATCCTAATAGGAAAATTAAAGAGAGCCAAAAAAATATAACATTTATGTAAGATGTTTGTATAAGATGTTTGGTAATAACACTCTTATTTTAATAAATATAACTGTTTATTGAATCTGTTTTGTTTAAACGCACCAACATATATTTCCGATGTTCAATGAGAAATGGATGAAAATCTTATTTTTCAAATTGGATGTACTCATTCATGCAGTGCACTGTACATTTATAGCTAGGGGCTGCTGAATGCCTGATTCTGGTTGGATTATACACCTTCTACGGTGTTTATTTTTCAGGAATTGCACTGCTAAAGAAGACTGATTTTGAAAGTATTAGTTTCATATCACTTCTCCAAATTATTATAGTCATTACAGCCCATAACAGCAAGAGATTCAAAACCCACATTGATTAACTGACTTGAGTTCACTGAATTAAACCCAAGGTAATGGGTAAATGAATATTAGCAATTTGAGGGACCATTATTTTAGAATAAATCTACTCCACACAAAGGAATATTATCAAGCTGAGGGTGCATTATTTTAGAATAATTCAACAGCTTGTCATTAATTATTCCTTAAACAGGCAAGCTAAATGCAATTTTATAGTAGAAAAAATAGAAACCATTAGAGTTTCATATCACTTCTACAAATTATTATATAATTTCAAACGCAATTACAGCCTACAACAGCAATATAATTAAAACTCACATTGATTAACGGACTTAAGGTCATTAAATTACGAAACTTTTTTTGTTTGTCTATTTTTTATGGGACAAAGGTATGATTACATAACAGTACATTAACAGCTGAACAATTTTGCAGTATTTATTTGTTTAATAAATAAATGTATTAACATATTAAAACTCTAACACCAAAAATAAGCATTTAACTGATAAAAAGTGACCAAAATCTGTAAATTGCTAAAAATTTTTGCTTTTCAAATAAATAAAGGAATTTCTGAAAGAAAGTAAGTAAAAAAAAAAAAAAAAACTCAGAAGCACAAATGTTTTTGGAGCACCAAGCTAGTATATTAGTATATTAGAATAATATGAAATAATATGGAATAATGTGGCATTCTGAAGAATCATATCACAATGAACACACACACACACACACACACACACACACACACACACACACACACATATATATATATATATATATATATATATATATATATATATATATATATATATATATATATATATATATATATATATATATATATATATTATACTATTCTTTTTTTTTTTTTTTACCAATTAAATGCAGCTTTGGCGAGCATTATGGAATATACCGGTAGTATCATCCGATATTTCTATTCTTTATTTGTCTTTATTTGTTTATTTATCTTCATTTTTAATTTTTTAAAAGCTGTGGGTGGTATAATCACTTACAAGTATTTTTACTCAACTTAATCTTAATTATTTAACTGATTTTTTAGATTTATATTGAATAAGCACATCCATAAGATATTATATATATTACCGTTGATGTATGTGGTCCAGGGGTATTTTAAGTGTCAACCCAATTGCATTTGTTTTAAAAATAGACGTGTCTGAAAGTATATTGCTCCCTTATCATTCTCTTCAGACAGCTGCAAGCACTTTCACAACTAGACCTAGCATTCAGAACCTCAATCTCCTGCCATAAAGACCCCATTCATGTGTTTCTGGCTCATGCTGCACATTCTTTCTCAGCCTGCGAGGTGTTTCATCTAAACAGGAGCAAACGCACACAAAAACCCCAGCAAATCACAAACAAACAAGTCAGGCTTATTGGATATTTTATAGTTTAGAGAAAAGAATCTGCTGCAAACACGTGTACAGATGCACTGTAGGCTCAGTAGGGAAAATCTAGACTATGCGATTGTTTTCCCTTGTGAGGTCTCATTTCTGCCGCTCCCTTCCTTAATTAATTGTAAGTGAAGATTTTAAGATGACTGCTCAGAGGGTCCAGTGTCTGCTAGAGCAGCTAAACTAGCACCATTCACTCTTAAATACATGAAACATTAGCACATTTTCTGCATTAGCCAAACAGGAACCTTTTTTTTCTTAGAAATGTTTGGTCAATTTGGTTAATTTTTTTTTTTTAGAAATGTGACGCATGCTTTTTTCTCAGAAATGCACCTGCCTGTGTGCTTTGAGTAAATCTTTCCACTGATTAATCACTGTTAAACATTGACTAACTGAACATTAATGAGAAATTCTGAATATTAATTTGCCATTAAGTTACTGTACATGTTCATTATATAACCAAGAAAGTGTACCTGAGTCTGCCGTCCATTTTAGCAACAGAACCTGGAGCCAAACTGTGGATGTAGATCCCAGGAGCACTGTTTTCCAGTGTTAGACAGCAGGCACCAATGCCTAGTCCCACGCCTGGCTCTGAAACACAAAAAACAAATGATTTACTTTACAATTTTAGAGTCAGATTTTTGCTGTTTATCCTGGTTAAGGGTATTTTAGATGGTATGACACACATGGATTCTCAGACAACTTCTGAGGTGAGATGTTTACCCTCTGAACCTGAAGGAAATCATGTCTGCTGTCTTTTTAAAAGACCTATACCTTTAGTTTAATAATGCATAGACCCTAAAGTAAAATACTTCATGTCAAAGAAATATGTGGTGTCTCTGAACTGAATAAATTAGCAGAACTGAAATAATGAGAAAGCTGCTTGGAGGGTCTATTTATTAGCTTGACAGTCCAAGAATAACAGTTTTCATTTTGGCAGGATGGTTTATTTGGACACATAATGAGCACAAGGCTTCAACACAGATTCATCTTGATTCACAGGTGCGTGTCTAAGATAAAAAAAACAACAACTTTAAATGTCATTTAAAAAATATAAAAAAAAATGTTATACATGAATTTCAGATGGGAAAAGTGTGTTCTGATAACATTGGAGATGATGGGGAAATTAAAATGTGATTTATGTTTAATTGTTAATACTGTGTTAGTCAGAATATTAAAAAGTAGAGGTAAAAGTTACACAAAGCAAACATACTGCAAGCAAAATAGTAAAACTACTTCTTAAGTGGTGCAACGTCATGAAGAATGTTTAACATAAAATACCATTTAAAAAGTTGAGGCAGATAGAATAGCCTCTTAAGCTCACCAAGACGGCATTTATTTAATCAAAATTATATGGAAAAACAGTAATTTTGAAAAATATTATTGTATTTTTTAATAACTGTTTTCTATTTTAAATATTTTTTTATTTTAATTTATTCCTGTGAGATCAAAAAAGATTTGTTCTGTGTTTCACCAGTGTTAAATCAATCAAATAAGATGATTTGGTGATTTTCTTTTGCTCAATAAACACTTATTTTTAATATCAATGTGGGAAAAAAGTTTTGTGGAAAACATTTATTCAAGATTTTTTACAAAACAAAATACAAATCTCTTCCATGAAACTCTGTGCACGCAGGCTAATAGGTCACACCCAATCTGTTCCTACTACATCATTAATTACATGGTGCAGGATATTTGTTACTGTCAGCCAATGAGTTTGGTCCACAAGCATTTTAAATGCTCACTGTTGCTTTATGCTAGCAATGTGCAGCACATTTTTCGGAGACCCTCCTCCACCCCAGTTCCACCTGTGTTAAGATCTGCTATGGGGCTTACACATACAGTTGAAGTCAGAATTATTAGCCCACCTTTGATTTTTTTTCTTCTGGAGAAAGTCTTATTTGCTTTATTTATTTTGGCTAGAATAAAAGCTGTTTTAAATTTTTAGAAAACCATTTTAAGGTAAAAACTATTAGCCCCTTTAAGCTATATTTGTTGATAGTCTACAGAACTATTGTTGAATAAAAACATATATCTATAAAATATTGTATAAATATATATATATATATATATATATATATATATATATATATATATATATATATATATATATATATATATATATATAAATAAAATATAATAACTAATAACCTACCTAATTACTCTGTACAACCTACTTAACCTAATTAACCAAGTTAAACATATAAATGTCACTTTAGGCTGTATAGAAGCGTCTTGAACAATATCTAATAAAATATTATTTACTGTCATCATAGTAAAGATAAAATAAATCAGTTATTAGAAATTAGTTATTAAAACTATTATGTTTAGAAATGTGTTGAAAAAAACTTCTCTCTGTTAAACAGAAATTGGGGAAAAAACATACAGAGGGGCTTCAACTGCATATTATGTTTATAGCAGAAGTGTGTTAAATTCTCAGAAGTTGTGGTACTTGCTCTTCCATAATAATCAAAGCAGCAGCAGCACCATAGCAGGTCTATGCCTGCAAGACCAAACACATGAACATTGCCATTATAATATATATATATATATATATATATATATATATATATATATATATATATATATATATATATATATATATATATATGTATGTATGTATGTATTACCATACTAAATCTCTCCGAGATTTCTCATGACAGAAAGAATAATCCAGAATACTGAATAATCAATAACACAGTATATAAAAATATAGAAAACAAATAGCAAAAACCTCTATTCCTAAAATTTTGACCATTAATGCACATATCTGCAACCAACTACATTTTTTTGCAAGATTATATGACTGTACCTTTGTTCAATGTAACCTCCATGATAATGCGATCTTTGGGACCAGGCCCTTTACGAGAGTCCCCCTCATCAAAGCTTTGAGGAACTGGAGTCCCACCACTGGCATTAGAGTTTGGAGAACTGGATCTGCTGAGCAGGGTGGGTGTGGGACATGGTGTAAGACTGGGACTTCTCAGGCGGGTCCGTACTGTTAGAGTAACTACACCTTTCTTAAGTTGCTAAAAAGCCAAGAAAACAATACCCATTAGACATTGGATAATTACAAACATCTATGAAAACCACTGATTATCGTTATCTTTAAATGATGGCAAAAGTCATTCAAAGTAATGGGCATGCACTGAAATTTCAATCTTTACAGTGGGTGGATTTGAGGGTGACTGTGGAGTTTACCTTAAAGGTCTGAATGGCCTGCTGGTGAGTGAGGCCTTGGAGAGACTCTCCATTCACCTCTAATATCTCATCTCCTGAAAGCCAGAAGAAGAAAGACGATGCAAGATAAAAGCCACAATTGCTCATTCCACATGGTTTCAACTGCTTTGAAGTCTATTGTTCCAAGTGCATTAGAGTGACTTTTTTATGATCAGGATTGTCCATCTACCTTCTTTCAGTCTCCCGTCTGCTGCAGCTGCTCCATTGGGGAAAATGGTTTTGACAAATATACCCATTCTTCCCCTGGCTGAATCCTGTCCACCGACAATACTGAAGCCGAGACCCTGGACACATTAAAAAGCACGCAAGTTTATAAATTATATCTGAGAGGTATAATTACATTATTATAATTACAATATTTTAACAGAGTAATTACATCCAAGATAAAAGTTTGTAATGTACATGTGTTCTGTGTATATTTATGTGTACAACTATAAATAAACATTTACATCTATATATATTCTTACATTTACAATGTAACTACAGAGTAAATACAATGTAATGACACAGTAACTACATACAGATTAAAGGTTGTAATTATTACATACATCTGTGCTGTGTACATTTAAACATAAAATATAAATACACTACATGAAATAAACAAAAACACTAATAATTATTATCTGGGACGTAATAACAATTTAATAGCAATGTACTTACATTCAAGATTATAATTTGTCATTACATTACATGTGTATTATGTATATTTACGCAAATAACTAAATACACAAATGCAGTACACGAAATATACTAAGAAACATTTACGTTGATAAATATCTCAGATGTAACTACAATATATTACCAATGTAATTACAATGTAACAACACAGTACATCATAGATGTAATTACAATGTTATAACAATATAACTAAAAATGATATTAGAGAGTATTACTATGTAACAACATTGTAATTACACTGTCTTTAAACTGTAACAACATTGTAATTACAATGTTACAACAATGTAATTGCAATGCCTTTTCATAGTTATTATAATGTAATGACAGTAATTACAGCAAAAAAGCAACATTGTAATATGTTATGTATATAGTAATTTATATTAAAATTGCAATGTTATAAAATACAATTACAATGTTAGTACATGGTAACTATATTGTAATGACAGTAATTATAATGCATTACCGTTGTAATTACATTGTTATAACATTATAACTACTATGTAATAACAGCCTTCATGTCAATTCATTATAAGACCATGTAAAAACATTTTATATACATTGTAACAGCATTGTAATTACAATGTTTTTACAAAGTAATAATAATAATAATAATAATCACATAGTAATTACAGCCAAAATAAAGTATGTAATTACATATTGCAACTCAGATGTTAATACAATGTAATTACAATGTCATTACATCCAAAATAAAAGTTTTTAATTACATATAAACAGTGTATATTTTTGTATAATACACAAATACTGTACTTGAAATATACAAATAAACATTTATAAATATTATATATTATATTATAAAAATAATATTATAAAAAGTTTGTAATTACATATTGTAGCCTTGGAATTATATGATTCTATCTGCTAAATGATTTTGAGATATTGAGCTTCAAAGTTTTTGCATTCCATACAGCAAACAATGTGTAACAGTTCTTTCATACATTAACATGACAGAGACCCTAAATCTACTCTAAATGTAAATTATCAAAATTCTCTTACATTTGCAAACTGGGGTAAAAAACAGGGCAAAAACAGGTAGAAACTTCTAACTCTAAAAAGTCCTCTTCCACTTGGAATCATAAGGTTTTATTTGGTAGATCATTAATTAAAGCATTACTTTTCAAGAAATACAATCAGTCTCTAATTAATATTTAAAAAATGGTGCTGCAACAATATGTTGATATTTGAGAAAGTTGCATTTTTGCTTTCTATAACATTTATTTATTGTTTTAAGATGATTATTTTTTCTTGTTCAAATTAAGCTCACAAGGATGTACTAAATATTTTGTCCAGCGCAGATGTTAATTTTATGTAATTAATATAAATTATAAACTTTATATGAATAATTAAAAAATATTTATTGAATTATAATATAATATGGGACATATTATATATAATATGCCCCATAAATTAAATTAAGTATTTGCCCTTTAAGTCTTTAAATTTAAAGACTTTAAAAGAAATATTGTTTCTTTATTATCAATGTAAAATGTAACATTTCATCCCAATGACAAAAATCTGCTTCTAAATCATCACATTCACGCACACTTTTTCAGTTTCAGGCTTCTTCCTAATTTTATGTGGTTCTGCATTATTTAGTTGACTTTGATTTTGTGGTTCTTTCTGGTCTTTCCCGCTGTCAATGAAGCAATCCGGCAAAATGACAAAGAAAGCTGATCCTGATTGGCCATCAAGCGTGCATTCGAAATGCTGATTGGCTCACAGAAAGAACCTTATTGAGCCAAGCTAGTGTTCAACTTTGTAGATAAAACCTTTTTTCGTTTTTAAAATAAAAAGTCTTAAAATGTAAGCAACTTGCAAAAAAAAAATATCACATAATGTAAATAAATTGTCGTTAAATAAGAATATGTGAATAGCTCAATTTTGACAAAAATTACCTTATAATAAACCTTTTAATTCTAGGGTGACGACTTATACTCCTTTTTATCCTCCCTGCTTCTTAAAATAACAGTCCCACATACACAGTTTGTGTAATAAAAGCTTAAATAAACTTGAAAATAAAGAAAAAAGAGATTAAATCTCCAATGAATAAAAAACATCAACATGATTAAAGCAGTTTGCATTTAAAATGCTCTGTACAGTATGTGAGCTCTCATGGTGACAGTGTGTATTGTCCTGTGCACATGGCCTCCTCACCTTTCCTTGTCCTTTCATCAGTACAATGTTGGAGATTATGGATGGCTGGGCCAGTCGCCATGGAGACTCCACTTGAACAGTGCTCAGGGAACGAGCCGATTTCTTCACGATTTGATATTCCTGAAGAGGATTACAAGAGAGGCTATGAATAAACAATGAGATGATAAAATCAGCATTGTTTTTTAATGTGTACAACTGTGAGTAAATGAGCAGCTGTCTTAGTAACTCGTACCTTTGTACTGCATCACATTGGATGAAAGCAACAGCTAAATGACAATAAACGATACAGCACTACCATTACTTTGAAGAGAAATAACAAATTGAGGATTTTGCTTTGGATGGGTGTAGAGATACATCCAAGTCACAATTTGACATGTGGTCATACAATAAGAAAAAATAAAGAAAAAAACGTATAATGGTGTTTTTAGAATAATTATAACTTAAAACTGTTAAATAAAATTTGTGTTTTATCTTGATTAAAATGTTAAATTTTGTCTAGACTTGTGACAGGGGACTTAAATAGACTTGAACTTCTGTTTTCTGGGGCAATAGCTATGTTTCCATCCACCCATTGTTTGCACATTTTGGATATGCGCATAAAAACTAGTTAATGGAAATGCCAATACGCATATCAATTTTGAAAATGTGCATAACTGAGTAGGATAAACTTTTTACTCTATAAAAAAAGATGTGCATAAACTGCGATGTAACAAATTACTTTTAACAGAAAAAAATTCCAGCATGCACATTAAAAAAGTCATATGATTTTTTATAAGAGATCATGTGATGATACAAATGTATGTGAATGGACCAATTCAGCATTAGTGTTGTTATTTTATTAATTACCTTCAGAATTGTCAAGAGCATCTGTGTCTCACGCATTTAAACACCAAACCACGCATTCATTGCATGTTAGCATTTGTCTTCTGAGGTGCAAGTCATTTATTAAATAAGAAATAGATTTATGCAGCTTCTTCTACCAAATTCAATTTTTGCAGTTTCTCTCACCAAATTACACTTTTCCTGTTGATATTTGGTGCCAGTTAATCAGGAGGTGACAATTTTGTTCTCTTTGACTAACTGGAGGGAATTGCTGCTTTATTCGCATGTCTTATATGCGATATTCCAGCTTTGCGCATAAATTTAATTTGCATCTTTGGATGAAAAAATAGCTAAAGATCACATCAGAACACAAATGATATAGATTGTGAGGCTTAATAATGAACTATCTTAGATATACAGTACATGTTTGGCCTCATTATGATTACCTACATATAAATGAGCCTTTTGCACTGGTAAAGTCAGACATTTGGCATTATTAGATTCATCCTATCAATATCAAACATGTTTAATGTTATATCCAGGATTTTCAGTAGCTTTGGCTTTTAGCAGCGACATTTGCATTACACTGGACTCAACTAAATTAATATTCAACTGTGACAACCGAACTGAAGGGATTTTAATCAACTTGTAGAACTTCATCTATGTTAAGCTGCTTTGAACAATCTACATTGTAAAAGCCCTATAGAAATAAGGATGAATTGAATTGAAAGAGATGAGTAAGAAATTAGTCAATACCGTACAAAACTGTAACTGTACATTATGCCAAACTAACAGAGACTAACAATTTAACAAAACATAAAGGGATGCAACTAGGGATGCAACGAATAACTGATTTCACTATTAACCGTGCTTTTTTTCATCACGGTTTATAATTGTAAAGACTTCTCAACACCGCAATTCTGTATGGAACAAATCTGCGACAACTAAAAGTCATGCTAACTGTGCGCTAGTTTAAAGTTCCAAGCTTGTACACTGAGACTGGATTAACTATGGCTGGCTAAGGCTATTAACTAAGGGTCGTTCACATGTCGCGTCTTTCACAACGCGCACATGCTTTCCAGGTGCACCTAGTTAAAAGAATGGCGTGAGCGCAGTGAGTCACGTGACAAGAACTGACCGCTTAGCTTCATGCTTTGTATGGAATTTACACATTTCTACTCCAAAAGATAAAAATATTATACAAAATGAAAATACCAAACCCTTTTGTAATATAGTTGATCAAAAATGCCTTTCATACAGAGGTTCAGCAACCATTGATTACATTTTTCTCCTTAAAAGTATAATACTTCGCCAATATGACGCTAAGATTTACAGTAGACAAATACTATTTTGTATTTATTCTTATTTATTTATTCATTGTTGTGTCATTTATTTTTAGTGTAAAATTATTACTTATGATTCAAGAGTTCACACTTAGATAATGCTTGACTATTTTAGCAGGTTTGGCATGCTGTTCCAGGAGAGAACCCTGAGCTCAGAGATAGATGAGCCCAAGGCTCCCACCTGGTCAATAAGCATTAGGATACGGGATACAAGATCAGGTAGTTCTCGATAACTTCCCAAGAAAAGACCGCCAACTGCGCCAGTTTGTACGTAGTAGGTGCTTGTGACTAACTTTTGTTGCATGTTTTTGAGACTGTGGGAGGAAACTGGAGTATCCGGGGAAAACCCACGCGAACACGGGGAGAACATGCAAACTCAGCACAGAGAGTGTCGACTGGCTCAGCTAGCATTTGAATCAACACCCCCTTGCTGTTGGGCTACGGTGCTAGCCACCTAGCCACCGTGTCACCCGAACTTAGCATTGAGGAGGAGGGAGAAGGGATAGATTACGGGGGTTTCCAAAACGAAGATGAGGATTTAAGTTTAGGCTGGATATTTAAATCAAATTTGGAATGATCAGATTGGCTAGTTGGTGATTAGTAATAGGGATCAGCTGTAGTCAATCATATTACTTGCTCCTCTCGAAATTAGTTCGTGAAAGTTCACTTATATGACAAAAACATTTTTTTACTTGTTTTAAAGCCCAAAGAGAAATTTACTTGTTTTTTTAAAGAATATTTTGTGCTGTACTATTTGTGTTTATTCTTCAGACAATGATTGTACAAACAAAATCTATAATCGTTGCATCCCTAGTTTAAATTTAGGTTTAAACCATTAACACATTTGTTAATTTTCCTTTGACCAGTGCCGTAATTAGTATACCTAACTAGCATAAGAATGACAGGACAAATCGTCTTTAAAGTGGTCATGCCACATAATAATTTTCATTTCAGCCAACAAAACACACTGAACTGAAATCAGGTATTATAGACTGTGAGTATAAGAATACTGTCTTAAATGACAAATGATAAATGAATAAACTGAATACTGTAGTGACCTGTCGGATTCCAACTGTATCCAGCTGCTGTGGGAGGGAATGTTTGCGTCCTCCTCGCGTCGGCTTTTCAGCTACATCACTTCCTGTATCACCGTTTTCCACTATGAGCTCATCGTCTTCACCAACTGACTCCAGACGGCTTCCTCCACCTAGTCAGAATGATATCAAGACATTAGCTTTAAATGAAAACATATATTTATTTTCTCAGTGGAATCAAGTACACATGTCTGAATGCCTCCACTAATTATTAAGCATAGTTTTAAAATAAAATGCCAGATACCCATCCATCAGAATCATTTCAGTATTTCCTGATCTGGTAGAAAAATCTATCATAAGGACGTTAGAATTGGTGGATCCACCCTTGGCCATAATCCAGTACAGTTTAATCTCATTACACAGTTTTAATGGTCAGCAGTGTTGTGATGTGATACAGCTGGACACGTCTGACCTTGGGATCTGCTGCGGAACTTCATTGGTGTGGGGCTTCGGCAACATCCTTTGGGACCCTCAATCCGGCCACGTTCGTCCAGTCTGTCATGATCTGTAAACTGAAATACAGGAGGCAGAAATAATTAGAAAAAACATACCCTGAAAAGAGAGAAACACTATACAGAATTGCTAGCTTGCCCTTCACTGCACAGGAATGTTGCACACTCGTGAGGGTGAACACTTTCTTTTTTTTTCACAGAGGGATGTCAAATCTCATATGTACTTCTAAGCTAAGGTATTCATAGAGACTTTACTTGATGTTGTGAAATGGAAATACCTTTGCTTAAGTAATCCAGTATAGACTGTACTAGCAATATTGAGGCAATGAAGGTGTCCACGCTAAATAATACAACTTTGCTCATCTCATTTTTAATATACATTAAATTGTTTTCATTTTTCATTTTTGATTTAGGCCCTATTTCTGAAAAAAACTGATAAAACATTTGTCCACAAAAATATTAAACAGTACAACAAATAATTATGCTCAAGTTTCCTTTTTTATTGCGTATAAATTAGAAAACGCTTTTAAACTGCAAAATAATTTCCCACAAATTATCAGTTTACTTTTTTTTTAACTTAGCTTTAAAGAGCCTCTATTGCGGGTATTTGAAAATGACCTTCCATGCAGTGTGTATAACACAGCTCTAAGGGCATGAAAACATCCAACTTAGGTTTAAATCAGTAAGTGCACCTTGTTTAAAAATATAGATTTTTAAAATGAAAAGATTCGACTCAGAGTCTTTTAAATGATTTGTTGTCGTGATCTGGATCTTTTGCCTGTTTGCACTGACGTTGAAACAAAACAATACCAAATATGAACTGCTGCATCGGTTAAAACGTGAACACGGCTTTCCCGTTTAAATGCTAGAACAGTGTGGATGTGTGTGGGACTGATCATGACCAATGATGTGTAAAAATTAAACGTCTAAAGCCACGCTGAAAACATGACGCTTGCTACTTTCGTTAAAGATTTAAATGCGGTTGTGAGCTTGCGATTTTCTGCCATTTGTTGTTGCTATAATTACCATCAGCTGTTCCTACACAAGTGCAGTAGTTAAGTTTTAAAATAGTTCAGCTTTTTTTTGTGTGAATTAATACTGATTACACTCTGCAATCTGCCTACTTCAACAATGTTGATAAGCCATGGTGGGCATTTCTCTCTGTCTCGCGCTAAATGCAGTTGGCCAATCGCAACAGACTAGGCTATTGAGACATTCAGCGCAGATTAGCATCATGCTAAGGAGAGGTGTGAGATCAATTGAATTGCAGAGCAAATCATATGGGTGCGTTGGGAAAATTAGGGGAAAAAAATGCATATTATAAGACAACGAAAGTGTTTTGACCATTTATGTATATCAAGGTTATAACAGTTTTAGATATTCATTAGTTTTAGTTATTATTTCATTTTGACATTTTGTTTTCAAATTCAGTTAGTTTTAATTAGTTTTAGAGGCAGATTTACTAGTTTTTATTAGTTTCTATATTTCGAAATTGCTTAGTCTTATTTTACTTTTTATTAGTTTGAGTATTAGTTTTAGTTTTTTTTAATATAGGTTAGAATATTTGTTAGGTGCAAGATACAAAATGTACTGTTTGTAAGAGGGCATATCAGGCATGTTAAAAAGTAAGTCTTTGTGGACAAGTGCTTACTGGAGTCGCAAATCGTTTCAAATGATTCAGTTCGATTTGGTGAATTAATTCAACCGGTTTACTTAGAAGATCCGGTTAAAAAGAATGATTCACTCACGATCAGGATCACTAATATGGAAATAAAACCCATTATTGGACACTAATGTGCTATTAATATTTTCAGGTGTCGGCTTGAGTCGTATTTAATGCTGTCACTGTGCTGCTGTCATGTCTACTCGTTGATTTTGTCACGGAAGCACCAGCGAGGACTGACTGGAGGAGGACCAGCTTGATCTGGCCAGTGGCAGCAGGATTACAGACTCTGAGGTGCCGTACAGGTCAAACACCGGGCAGCGCGAAGTAAATAGATTTAATTCTAAAAAGCTTACAGTAGGCTTATGTAATAAATACATTTGCAAAGATGAAAACAAAGGACAATTTTGCTATAATTTTAGTTAGTTTCAGTTAGTTCTAGTTTTTTTTAACTCGTTTTATTTTTATTTCAGTACTGATTTTTCAATTTTAGTTTACTCGTTTGTTTTCGTTAACTATAATAACCTTGATGCATATCAGCCTGTTGTTGGAGACCCACAAAACCAAAATATGACCTTTTTTAATGCATAATAGGGGCTTTTTAATTGTTTTGATGGTTAAATTTCATTTTAGTATGGGCAATGCTTGTCTAATTAAATTAAATAATGAAATTTATATCGTCTTAAAAGAAAGTGTATATATTTATATAGCAATTATTTAACTTTTACAATTGGATTTCTATGAACTATATGCATTTCTTTTTAACTGTAAGTTTTTTAGCACTGTATTATTAACATTTTTATTAATATTAATTATAAGTCGACAGCACTTTGAAATAGAATATTTGTGTCTAATTCAAAAGATTCCAAATGCTTTAATTATCACTTATAACTAGAAACATAACATGCAACTAAGTCATTATGTTCAAGGGGTAGTTCACCCAAAAATGAAATCCTGGCATGATTTACTCATCCTTGGCTTGTTCCAAACCTTTATGTGTTTAATTTTTCTGTTAAATACAAAACAATACCTTTTGAAGAATGCTCAAAAAAACGTGGTCATTAACATCAACATAAGGAAACATAAATACAATAAAAATCAATGAACCCTGGTTTAAAACATTTTTTTTTTAAATATCTTCTTTCATCTTAATCAGAAAAAAGAAACTCAAACATGTTTGGAACAAGTAAAGGATGAGTAAATGATGACAGAATTTTCAGTTTTGGTTGAACTATCCCTTTAATTAACTGTAATTACATAGTCAATTTTACATGTTTGGAAGCCTTTAAACATTTTTTACCCATGGAAAACTCCAATAAAAAGTGTATTTGGGGGTTGTTTAAATATTTGTGCTGTGTAGCAGCGAGATTATTTATGTAATAGTTGTCAATGGCACTTTGAAGTCAGAAAACCTCTTGAGTTCTGCACCACTGATCGGTGGCTGTTTTAAAAAGAAGAAGAAGAAAAGAAAGAAAGAGTGTTCCATTTCCAACCGTCTTCATTTTAAAAATGAGCTTCGGTTTATCGTACAGCTCTGGCGTCCTGAAACAAGTTTAAACAGCAGCATGTGAAGAAAGATACACTGCTCTTTTTTCAGGCGTGAAGACAGGAAGCCCTTCCCTGAGTTGTCAGACATGAGATCTGTCTCCTGCATGAACAAGCTAGGCTACGCTGTTTCAGGTGAGCCCGTGGGTTTCCTCAAAACCCCACACCTCCAGGCCTCACAGGATTCAACGTGACAGTCACAGCTGCGCTCCTCTTTCCTTCCTTATTTTTTATTTGAAAATCTGCTCCCATGCTTTTACCTCCCTCCCTTTGTTTCGTCAAAAATCACTGAGCCTGATGCTTCAGAACAGATCTGGAGACACACCCAGCCCTGTCAGCACGAGACGCCTACATAATAGCAACCGCTCATCACCCTCTTCTGCTGTGGCAGAGCGTTGAAAGGCAGGGTAAGAACAGTTTGGACAGGTGTTTGGATTTGGAATGGAAGAGTGAATTGAGAAGCAAACATATGGTGAAGAACTGAAAAATTAATTGGCCCAGTTACACTCTCCATTTCATTTTTTGCTTAATAACTTAATGATAGACTTCTCATCTATGAATTCCCACGACTTTGCCTTTTCCAGGCATTTATGATTACTGGATAAGGATTGTTAAAAATCCATTTACAGATATTACACTCACAAAAAGCCATTCCTAGCCAGGAAAATATTTGAAAAGTGATTTATACTGAAGGGAAAAATATGATTTGCTGATGCTTGTGGTTCTTGCATTCTGCATCCAAGAACTATGAAAGTCATACAGGTGTGAATGTTGCTGAGCTTTAGGCTTTTCGTTCGTTGCTGAAAAGTACAGCAGGCCCTTGATGATAAAAAATGTTAACATTTTCATTTGTCTTCATCTACGTTTATCGGTCTGTCTATGTGTGCATTTACCCATACATTTGTCCATCCATCCATGCATACATCATCCACACAGAACAGAAATCATCAACAAAGCATTGTTAATAATTGTTCAAAATTGTGAGGCATTTCCCTGCAGGTCTTGCAACTTATTATGAACAGCAGGTGTTGAGCATGGAACATAAAACAATGGTGGACATTACACAACCCGTTTTTTTTTTCTCGAGTGAATGCTCCTTGGGTTGCGTTTAAGGTCAATTAGATATTCTAAAAATCATATACAAATATACTTTTTGTGCTCGAAGCAATATTGTTATGTAATAAATGTAGTTGACTGATTCATATAATACATATTTTTTTCCTTTTAAAATAATTAATGTTTTGGTATTATTATGTTAAGTGTTAGGTAAATGTTTAAGAAGCACCACAAAAGGCGATTAATAAAGCTTTAAACAAACAAATGTATACTTTTATTGTGGTAATCTCCTCAGGTACCCTTCTTTAAAATGTGGGTGTCTTAAGTATGTACGATATTTCCACTCTAGAAACTCACCTATGACTAGGGCCAGACAGAATCTGCGGACATGTTTTGTTATTTCTGCGGAGAATTGTGTTAAAGATCTGCGGATTTATGCGGAATTATTTTGGGAGTATCAAAACCTTAATATATGAAATAAAAAGTATCACCGTTTCAACTTTTATGTAATGTTTACAATGCAAATCCAATTAGATCAACTTATTTAATAAACAAAGCAAGTCTATCATATAATAGATCTACTAAAAGATCATATTAATACTTTCATATTAGTCAATAATATTACTGTAATTCATTAAAAAAGCTGAATAAATATAAATGTACACACATTTACACAAGTAAATAAATATACTCAATGATAGGCTAGAAATCTGCAGAAATCTGTGACATACATCAAAAGTCTAATGATTTTTGGCAGCTATGGACACCTTTTTGGCATTACATTAATAATTTCTCCTGATTTTCTATTCTATGGTGCATAATTAGCTCCTAGCCTGACTGTATTATCCTGTTTACTTGTTTGAATATTTCCCATTATCCCTACTTATATTATATTATAGGGTGATTCAAAAAGAATATCACAACTTTGAAAATATTTATTTGATCAAAGAAACATGATGCAACCTTGGGTAATTAATTAATCAATGTAAAGAGTACATTATTTTTTTAAACTTCAGAGCTTCGTTAAATCAACGACAGCCAGAGCTTAGCTCTCCATTTCTTCTTTGCATAGTTCTCGATTTTTAAAATTTGTTGTATTCTTTTTGAATTACCCTGTATTACTGTTTCCCTCTGAGTCCAAAGACATGCGGTACAGGTGAATTGAATAAGCTAAATCAGCCATAGCATATGTAAAAGTGTGCAAGAGTATGCGTGGGGGTTTCCCAGTGTTGGGTTGCGGCTGGAAGGCCGTTCACTGCGTGAAACGTGCAGATATGTTTATATCAATATATGATGAGGCAGTGGCGCAGTAGGTAGTGCTGTCGCCTCACAGCAAGCAGATCGCTGGTTCGAACCTCGGCTCAGTTGGCGTTTCTGTGTGGAGTTTGCATGTTCTCCCTGCCTTCGCGTGGGTTTCCTCCAGGCGCTCTGGTTTCCCCCACAGTCCAAAGACATGTGGTACAAGTGAATTGAGTAGGCTAAACTGTCCGTAGTGTATGAGTGTGTGTGTGAATGTGTGTGTGGATGTTTCTCAGAGATGGGTTGCGGCTGGAAGGGCATCAGCTGCGTAAAAACTTGCTGGATAAGTTGGGGGTTCATTCCGCTGTGCCCCGGATTGATAAAGGGACTAAGCCGACAAGAAAATAAATGAATGAATGAATGAATATATTTATATAATAAAAATATTATATATATATATATATATATATATATATATATATATATATATATATATATATATATATATATATATAAATAAATAAAGTTTTAAACTAAAATTAATCTAGACTAAAACTAAAAACTTTTCCCATTCATCAATCTACCCAGTTGTACATCTATCTATTCATCCATCTGCATGTCCATCCATACATCCATCTATCAATCAATGCATATACCTATCTGACCACCCACCCATCCACCCATCCATCCATCCATCCATCCATCCATCCATCCATCCATCCATCCATCCATGTCAAATTAAGTATACATCTATCCATCCATCTGTACATCTGTCCATCCATGCATCTGTTGTGGATATCCATCTGTATGTCACTCTACCATGCATCAACCCATCTTTCTACTGTATCTGTCCATCCATCTATCTGTATGTTCGTCCATCCATCTGTCTGGCTATCCTTCCATGCCTCAACTCAACACATCTTTTTGCCCATACATCGATCCATCTATCCATAGTCATGTACATTTGGTGCCATTATCAGATTTATGTACAGCACCTAAACAGTTTTTACAGTCTCGTTTGATATTTTAAGCCATAACCAGTGTCACCATGAATAAATTATTGATATGCTCTAAAAGATCACGAAACAACATCTGTCAAAAGTTTGCCGTTTTACAGCGAAACAAACTAAGTTTTACTGCCCCAAATTCACAGCTACGATCAGCAGGAGCAGAGGAATGCTAATGTAATTAGACAGCAGGCAGGACGGTTGCTCTTTTTCATTTTCTGGTCCCGAAAGCAAGAACGTGTGTGCAGTATAGATGTGGTGGGGGGTGGTGGGGAATGACCCACTTTACTCGGCACTGCAGAACATCTCAAGCAAAGCATCATGGGTGCAGCACTCCAGAAGAGTTTAACCCTAATATGTTGCGTTGTGTGGTCCTGTCAGCGTCAATGAATTGTTTAATGGCCGACATTAGCCGTGTTGACATCACTGATCACCAAACCAGCACATCTCATTTTGTATGATTAAACATTAACACTGTGAGGCATTAGTGATTTGATGCACGCCTGCTTGCACAGAGCAAATGAATAATTTGTTATCTGTGATGAAACGAGCAAACGCTGAGCCAATGGCTGCTTGGTAAACAGTTGCACTAATATTTTTCTGGCAAGACAACAGATAAAAAGCTCAAGAACACAAATGAGACCCTGGCACAAAGATCAAAAGAGCTACACAGATAATGCAACTGGAAAAGCTACATTTTAATCACAACATGCTGCGGATATTTAGATTTTGCAGATAAAATGTGAGGAGAGTCTGTTCTTATCAGACAAACCGTGGAAGTGTGTTTGCTCTTCATCAAACACCTCAAAAGAGCGCCAGAGAAAGTTTAAAGGAAGACATCTATGCACACTAACAAACAAATTATGATTTTAAAAAGACATTAAACGTGTATTCCCAAAGCAAACTTTTAATCATAAACAGGCTCTTTATAAACAGAAAACATTCTGTCCTAGCTCGCTTTGTGGACAGCTGAGGCAGTGCCAGATGAAAGCTGCAGATAATCAGACAGATAGCCAGCAAACGTACGTACCAAGTCCTGAGTGGGCAGTGAAAGACTGCTGGCCCTCACGTCCTCCATGTCCGGCTCCATGTTCTCCTTCTCCTCCCCGGGGGACGGAGAGGCGTCCGGACCCGAGCACGTGCTCACTAGGTCGGGCAAGCTGGTGGACGGGTACTTGTGGAAGTCAACTTCGGACTCATCCTGGGAAAGGAAGGAAGAGCAGCTGGAGAGAGCATGTTGTGTGCCGTTGAGCAGCCTGCGAGTATTTTTAACTTTATCTCAGAAAGCCGAGCGGCGAGCCCATCAGCGCTTCACTCTTCAATTTTTTAGCTGCTACAAGCATCTGTGTGTGACATTTCTATGTGCTTGAACGGCTGACACACTTTATAAGGAGAACAGCTCATGAAGACACTTTCCTGCGCAATATGAGGCTCATTTGCTCTCAAACTCACCCTGCTGGCCACCACCAGCTGCACCAGTCCAGCAGTGGAGCGCAGTATGGCCACAGCCTCCTGGTGTGAAAGGCCAACCAGAGAGTGACCGTTTATCATCAGTAACTCATCGCCTGCCTTCAGACGGCCATCTCTGAAATCAAAAAAGTTGTCAGAAAGCAAAATTAGGTCGTGCTTTTACTTGAAAAAAGACAGAAGAAACTCCTGATATCACGTCTCAGCTATTAAAGTGAAATGTTAATTGGATGCTAATGAATGTTGGTCAAAAAATTATAAGATCACGACAAGTTGCTTCTATGTGATGGGAATATCAATGTAAATAATGTCGACAAGAGACAATGACAATATGTGTCGGATCATGAAGGAAACAAGCTACATTTCATGTTAAATATTAATTGTTCTTCAGATATTTCTCTTTAAATACAATCAAATGATCACCTTTATGTACAGTATAGTGGCCCACATTAGATTTGAAAATATACCACCACTAAAAATATACAAAATTCAGCCATTTGCTCACTAAGCAATGTTGTGACACATTGTGAAATGGCACCATATGGGATTTAGGAATAAAATTTACAAAAGAAAGAATAATTATGACTGAGAATCTAAAAGAGATTTACATTTCTTTAATATTTCTAGAACTTTCTGGAAAAAAAACTTCAACTGTTCTGCTCAATCGCTTTGATAAAGGGAGACGAGATTCATTTCTAATTTCAAAATGATTTGTTCTTAGGAAATTTATTTACATTTTTTTTTAAATTGTGTAAAACTGTTTCTTAAAATAAATGTACTCATAAAAGTAGATTTAAAGGAATAGTTCACCTAAAACTGAAAGTTTATTTACTCACCCTCAAATCTGTTTGCGTTATAGGTTTCTTTTTCTGCTGTTGAGCACAAAAGAAGATATTTTGAAGTAATCTGGAAACCTGTAACCATTGACTTCCATAGTAGTAAAAAAAATACCATGAAAGTCAATGGTTTTCAGCATTCTTCAAAATATATTTTTTTTGTGTAAAACAGAGCAAAAGAAATAGGGCTGCACAATATATCATAATATGATTTTTTAATAGAATTCTGGCATGAGAAATTGTACAGTTTGTAACTTTAAAAATGAATCATTTGTTTAATTAGTTTTATTTTTATTAGTCAATTACTGTTCTTAAATACGGAAAGACTTAAAAAATGATAATAAATCACTGCTTCAAGACTTCACACTTAGTTGATGATTATTTATAAAACATGTTTGGCATGTTGTCCCGGAAGAGAGCTCTGAGCCCATAACATCCTCGAGCCCGGGGTGCTTGCAGGGCGAGAGGAGAGTTTGAGCTCAGTTAGGTCTCGAGAACTCCTCTTCTTATTTATGGCTAATGATGAATTAGGGATTACTACAGAGAAATATGCAGCTGATTAAGAGCTCATCTACAGTATGGTGCTAATTTGGTTTGGTCAATTCACCTATGTCGCAAGTTTTTGGACTGTGGAAGGAAACCAGAGAAGCCGGGGGAAACCCACGCGAGCACAGGGAGAACATGTAAACTCCACAGAGAAACGTCAATTGGCCTGTTAAAGACTTGGACCAGTGACATTCTTGCTGTGAGGCAACAGTGCTAACCATTAGGTTGCTGTGCCGCCCTATCAAGGAAAAGGGAGGAGTAGGGGTGCGGAAGGGGGATTCTTCAAAACGAAGGTAACTGAGGTAAGAAACTCTGTTTTTTAATAGTGAGTTAGGAATCATCCGATTGGTGAATCACGTATTGCTTAATGCGAAACCAGCTGTGGTCAATCATAGGCACGTAATCCTCTCAAAATTAGTTCATAAATAAACCACACTGATTTCAATTGTGTTTTTTTTTACTGTATTTATCTATGTTTGTAGATTGTTTATGAAATTATATGGAGATGCAATTCTATTTAAAATTATCACAATCATTCTAAAAATGATTTTTTTTCCAACTATCTTTTTTCCGAACTATTTTTTTCCGAACAATGTTCGATTTTTCCAATATCGTGCAGCCCTAAAAAACCCATACAGGTTTGAAACCACGTGTGGGGAAAGTAATTTATTTATTTTTTTACATTTATGTGAACTATCCCTTTAAATCTCTATCTCAGAAAATGAACCATAGAGGACCTTTAAAATGATGACTTTATAAGAAAAGTTTGTTTAGAACCAAAAATCTAAAAGTAAGGTCTAATCTAATCTTAAAAGTAAGGTTTAAAAATCTAAATCTAAGGTGCAAATATCCAAACGATGAAATAATATGGACTTCTTCATGCAAATTTTAAGCTACAGCAATGATATCCCACAAAGACATCTCTGTGTCTGCTACATTCTTTCATTTCTGAATATCCTCAGACAGTTTCAGCCTGACTGCTCAACTGAGGCTTCATTACGATGAACAGTGTGCAGTGAAGAGAGAAAGAGTCTACATTTTAAAACCTCTCCCTGGTCAGAATCCTCAGGGCTTCAGTCATAGACGTAGCAATCTGAGGTTATCTCGGTGTTAGCTGTTATGTAAGAGCAAGGAACTCCATAACTACCCAAATCATGCTGGACTTTTGGCCCTGATCTGACAACACTAGAAAGCTCGCACTGGAAACCGGCCAATTTGACCAGTATGCATGATTGATGTCTATAGGTCTCTCAGAAATGGCCTCCCATTAAAACTATGTGGGAGGAAATGTTGTGCTGTTAAATTATAACAATAAAACCGAGCACTGGTCAAACCAAAAATAGTCCGCTGTGGGGGAGCTGCATATACACTGCAAAGTGAATCTGTATTTCCTGAAATTTATTATTTTTGGGGTTGGGGAATGGGGATAGAGGATTGCAGAGCAAAACCACAAGAGCTCAAATTTCCTGAACACGTCTATTTATCATCACCTAGTGGGAGTAATTTAAATTCGTTTTCTAATTTTCACAATTCTGAACTGATTTCTAAATTCAGCCTATGGCTCATTTCCATCAGGCTGTTGTGCTTCCTCCAAACCTAGCCAAAGTGTGCATTAATGAATTAAAAAGGGAAGCACATCAGCAAGGTCTCCAATGTGTTACAGCTTAAAAGCAGTTTAAGAGGTAACAATGTGGATGGAGAGAAAACGTTTTCTGAAGTAATAAATTCCATACTGCCTGTGTGAAGTGAAGAGATATTTCATGCTAGGATTATATGCTGGATCTTGTCTTGTTTTGCGAAGTATTTGCTTTTATATCACGGTACTACAAATCCCTAGAGGTGGAAATCTGCAGGAACAACTTGGATAACCTAACCATAATAGAGTACAGTGCTTACCACAGGTTTGAAATATACTTGTTGTGGTAGCCAGATTGAAACACTCCAATTACCCACATGAAATAAATAGTTATCTTTATGCGACAAACAAAACATAATTTAATTTTTAACAATAATTGCATTAATTATGACAATATTTTACATATTTTACTACACTTCATTTTTATAACATGTTATGCACTGTTTCTTTTCAATGGTTTAAAGTAAAAAAAGACTGTTCATAAAAAAAAGAAATGCACTATTTCTCTTACTTTTATGCCTTTTTAAGAGCCATGTGCACACACTGACAGGTAAAAGCTGCTTCTCTGTCTCTTTCAAGTCATAAGCAAACTTAAATGCCAACATATTTTAGATATATACAGTTAAAGTCAGAATTATTAGCTCCCTTTGAATTTTTTTTTATATTTCCCAAATTATGTTTTACAGAGCAACACTGCAAAAATGCTTTTCTTGCTTAGATTGTTTGTCTTGTTTCTAGTCTAAATATCTAAAATTTATCAAGAATAATTTTCTAGACAAGCACAACATATTGTCTTGTTTTGAGAAATAATATGCCAATTTTTCCTTAAAACAAGCAAAATAATCTGCCAATGGGGTAAGCAAATTAATCTTGTTCTTTTCTTTTGACGTAAGATTATAGTTTTGGTATTGAGGGTGGAAGAAAGAGCTGTTTGTGCACTCCTTCCACCTACAATCACTGTTGAACCTGAAACTCGAACCCACAACCTTCGTGGCACAAGTCTGACTGCCTCAATTTTAATAAATATTCAGGATTTATTCGCAATTAATTAACAATTGTTTGTTTTTGTTCCTATAAACAATAATGTAAAATAAATAACGTAACTTTTAACTTTGGTTGGTGAAATGTTCCAATACTCTGAATTTTAGTTAATCTCTGCTAAATAAGAGAGTGTCATTAAAGACAACAGCACAGTAAACTTAACATACAGCGCAAACATGACTGTAACTCGAAGCTTCTAATACTTCACAAACCGGTCATTACCATAGACAGTACATGGCAGCGTAACTGTATGCTCAGTGTCCGTCCATATGAGAATGACACAGTGGCTTTGAAGATAAATGATTATGATGGAGGGCACTTGAGACCTCTGGCACTCGCATATGCATGAGACGCTCTGTGATCAGGGTCATCACTGCACCTCCTGTTGCCACAGCAGCAAATCAAAACCTATGCAAATGAAAGCCATTCCTCTGTTTACCTCTGTGTGGCTCCTCCCTCCTCCACATGGGCCACGATGATGCCGTGAGGCGAGCGTTTGGACCCTCGGCCTCCTGTGATCTGGATGCCCAGGCCATCCTGACCCTTCACCATGTGCATCTTCCAGATCCGGCCACCCTCGCGGGGCTGAGGATAAAAACAGAGGGGGGATATTTATAACGTATGGTGGAACAATCAGGAATGTGCTTTATTATATAACACTAAACAAACTGCTGCAGCTGTTTTGTGGTTTTAACTTACACTGCAGTTCTCAAGCTGCTTCCCATTTTATGCTGTGTATCATGTAAAAATAATTACTGGTAATCTCAGGAAAGACATTTCAGCAAATTATTAAGAAAACGTTTATTTAAATTTCTGGTAATTTGTATCTAATTATCATCACATTGTGGGGAAATGGGTTTTGTAAAATGTTTTGTAAAAAACTTGTAAGAACTGAAATGTGTGGGGGTTTTTTTTATTCAGGCTTACATCCACTTTTGGAAAGGACATACATAAGGAGAAGGGAGATTTAAGAGAACCTGTTTCTGACAGCTTCAAGAGCTACTTTTCTCATTGTCTGAGCTTAACGGTCCACTGACATTATTCTTCATTAATGCATTTGCTCTAACAGACTAAAATAACATTTAGGCTCAAAAATCAATAAAGCTTCATGAAATGACAAAGCAGACAGAAAAGTATTAAAACAAAGCATTTTTTAATCATGTACCTCAGTTTTTATATGCATGGACATTAAAGCACACCTTGGTTACCCCTTTTTCCAGATTTTTCCAGACAAGTCTTTTACAAAATGTGTCTGTAAAGTTTCAGCTCAAAACACCCATCAGATTGTTTATTATACCTTTCTGAAGTTCCTATTTTATAGCTCTGAGCAGCAGGTAGTGTTTTTTGTGAACTGTGCCTATAATGCTCCTCCACGCCCACTGTTCCCACGTGCCTGTCAGACACACACATACACCGTGGACACACACACAGACAGCGCGTTTAGCTTTGCACTCTTTTAGCACGGCAAATGTGACAGGATACACATTAATATCCACTGCTGTATGGATATCTGTTATGTTAATGTACAAAATAAACCGGATTTAATGTCCACAAACCGTGATTGAAGCGTCTTCTTTTATAATTGTTCTGACATGCGGCTGTGGTGATGAAATAAAGCTGAAGTAAATTGCTGTGATTGATTACAAACATGCACCGTTTTAAAACATTTTAAACTTGTAAAACTCATTCTTTATTACATCTGATGAGGATTGATGATCCTAGCAAACTGAACAGATCTTTTATTCACGGTTGCTTTGCGCATGTCCTGAAATTATTATACGCATTACTACGGAGACATGTTAATACACAGCTGTCAGTGAATTTGGTGGGCGGGGAAATAGCACTCTTACGTCAAGTTGCGGTCGGCCTCAAAATAGGAGGGATTTGGATCCTATTTTAACATCAGATGTAAAAAAAAAAAATTTAATAAAAAATTAATAAAAAAAGAGACTTATTGTGTTTATATCACGGCAATATGACAGTGGACACACTATATCTAGACATAGTTCTGTCCAAACAGATTTTCACTATAGGTGTCCTTTAAAAGCAATTGAAAATATTTGTGCAAGAAAACATTCATTTGCTCATTATTTCTATTTACCAAAACTTTTATACACTGATAAACGTTAATTATAATTAACAATACTTAAATAAATCTTTAATTTTGACTTATACAATGTATTTTTGCCTATTGCTAAAATATATCCATGCAACATAACACTGGTTTTGTGATCTTGGGTCAAAAAAAAAAAAAAAATTAAAAGAAAATTAAATTAACAGACAACTTTAAAACAGATTTTACAATGTGTCAACATCTGAAGAAGAACGTTATGAAAACATGATAATTTTGTATAGATTATTTGCTACATAACAAGGAAGATGCAAGGCCATTATTTTGTGTTAAAGGGCACCTATTTTACCTCTTTTACAAGATGTGGTCACGTGATGTGCATTTTCGGTGGTGTTATGTAGATATAGAGTTGTTTAGAAATATTAGGTGAAACGCCAGTTAGGACGTGGATCGTTTTCATTCTAAAATGCCGTTTTAAAACAAAAACGTATTAGTGTAAATGGGGCCTGGGTACAGTGTAGCTGTTTTTGTAGCCTGTGGCTTTAAATCTAAATGAGCTGCTTCATCCCGCCCACCGCATGTCTGCTTCTCATAATGCGTTAGATCAGATAAACAGCAGTCAGTGATAGAGACAGACACAGACGAAGCTGAAAAAAAGGTCACGAGTCAAAAATACCAAGAAGTTTATTAAATGTATTTGTGATGGAGTCGATTCAAGCCATTCTGAAACGATGAGTCTCACACAAATGCTATTTGCAGTACGCACACACACACACACGCACGCACACACACACACATCTACTGACATCATGCAACCATGGTGATGAGGAGGTTATATACAAATACATACAATACATGTCCATGTTCAAGCATTTTATAGGGTGTGGTTAACCCACTAACATCCATATAGCAAATTTTGTTCAGAACAATTGGGACAAAAACCAGTGAACCTTTACCTGAAGATTCACTCTGACTAAAATCAGTGAGTTGTTAACAGGATACTCGCTCTGATCAGATCATTTGAATCAGAGAATCCATAACTTAAGACTATGGCCGTGTTGGAAATCGTCAACTACTCATATAGTTACAACGTTTGAATTTGAATGTACAACATGGCTGTTAGAACAGTATGTTCTATATCTACAGCATCTCACCAGAAGTACTAGTACCTTATAATGAGGTAAAAATTGAGTTACATCTAATAGTTTCATGAAACCCAGTCACCATTTTTTAGGCTTAGGCAAAGTAAAAGCAACTGATTTTTTTTTTCATACAACAAGATTTAACAAAACCAAATCCTTATTTGTTATGTAAATATAATGAATCTATGCAGATTGTGTTCTCATAATCTGTATATTGTAAACTGATTTTGCTAGTATTGCAAGACTCTACTGTCCATCTTCCTTGAAAGGCAGTGTTCAAACGCATTAATTCATTTTAGCCACTGAGCCATTTATAGCTATTGTGCCTGACATCAAAGCTTTTATAACAGTATACACTGACACAGGAGCCCATGAATTTTCAAACATCCTTTCAAAAGAGTGTCATGAAATTAGCCTAAAAATACATTTTAAAAGTATTCTGAAAATAATCCCTTAATATATGAATATGATCTTACATAACCTTTCTTTTATATTCTGTTGTTAAGGGTTTTGAAACTGAAACCGGTTTTTGAACTATAGAGAAATATTAAAATATTTATCCAATCACAGGAAACAATGGTCAACATCAGAAGCTAACAGGGAGAGAAAGATAACATTGTGAAACCCATATTAAAACCAGCAAGATGTTGACAAAATTCAAAGAGAAGCATTGAGATTCATCACAGGTGAAGAACTTGTTTATGAATAAGCTAAACAAGTAGATATTAGCCAATGACTGGATAAAATATGGACAACGTCGCAGTGACTTTTTAGACTGAACGATTTGAAGGCAAAATGCCTCGTGACGGGTACAAACTGTCGCAAAAGACTGCTGAAATTGGAGCCTGAGCATGCTCAGAAGGAACTACCAAATGGAGCCAGAAATAGAGCCACGGAATTAAGCTTCCAACAAAACGTTTGTACGTCAAATCAACCACGCCCCCTTCATTTGACCACCTGTATCTGCACTATAGCAAAGGCTCGCTAGTATAAATATAAGCACTTACATTTAACAAGTAATTAAACACTATTTATTTTAAAAACCGATGTGATGTAAACTGTCATAATTTAAAAAAGCAATACATGTTAGACTGCAAAAATAAACAATCTTCATCATTATCTTCACAGGGGTAGAAATATCAATCAACAGGACCCAAAATATACACACCATATATAACGATTTACTATGCAGGAAAAGTTGTGCGTTTAATAGATTAACACGGCAAGATTTCTAAATATCAACAGGATATTTACACATCCAATCCCTGCACTATAAAAAATAATCTTTGTCAATTTGTACAATAAACTTAGCAGTATTAATACATCAACTGAAGTCTATCAGCTGCGGCAACATTGCTTGTTTATCATTTGCCTCCATTTTCATTTGGTTTGTTCGATGCCTTCATTATATCTGGCAAAGAGGAATTTACATTCATTTTAATGTGTATTAGGAGTTTCAAATAAAAAGCCAAAAGTAAATGATGTATATAAATATTATAATATTTATAGCTCTATTTGTTATATAAGATTCGGTTTCTAGAAAATTAATATTTTATAACAGCAAATTCAGTATTAACTTGATAACATGCCGAAATTTTATCATGGTACAATAACACAGAAATGGAATAATAACACTTTAATCTCCTCCTGAAGCTCCTATGATCTGCTTTGAGAAACTGTCAATCACAACTGGCAGACACACCCTGTTTTTATAGAATTAAATTACTGGCTAAAAACATACTGTGTACAAAAATGATCATCTGAGCCTCTATCCGTATGATAACGAGTGACTTACTTGACCAAAAACCATCTTTCGGGACATTTAATTGCAAGTGTAATTAGTTTTTTTTATTTGGGCTCAAGTCTCATCGATTAACACGGAGGAGGCGGGCTTTATGACTTTTATGAGTAAGGCTTGGTACTGCAGCCAGCCCCCAGGGGGCGATCTAACGGCCGGGACCTTCACTCAAAAGCAGGCGTGTGGCATACTTGATATTAGCTAACAGTGTTGGGGGCAATTACATAATAATACTTTTCCAAAGTAATGAGTGAAGCAACACGTTTCTTTTAAAAATAAGATCTTTCCAAAAAAAAAATGTAACAAGTTTTACTTTTTAACTTGTTCAAGAGAATTTTTGTTAGGTGTACATCATGTTTAAGTAAAACTCTTGACAACTGCAAGAAACACGACATTGAAAAAAACAAACAAACAAAATTGGATGCGAAGCACTACACCAGCACCCCACTTACAGCTAAACAACAAATGATTGACAACAGTTCACGTTATTATTAATTAATTCAACTAAACAAAAAAAAAATGGTTATTGTTGAGGAGATGCAGCCACTGTCTAACATTACTGTAAGAGAAGTTT